AGGTGCGCGCTACCACGCCCGGCTCATTTTTGATTTATTGTAGAGATGAGGTCTTGCCAAGTTGCCCTGGCGGGTCTTGAACCTGTGGGCTCAGGCAATCCACTCACCTCAGCCTTCCAAAGGTACGGGATTACACGCTGAACCACCAAGCCCGGTTCCAGCTTGACTTTTAAAGCTCACTTTTCTTCTACACAGTACAACAAATCTCTTGTTACTATTTTTCTGCACTCTCCAGCATCCTTCTTGTAAATGTCATATTCCCTTTACACAGCCACCTTTGACAGCAGCCACCTCTATGATCGTTTTACCCTCACCTTACTAAATCAGATGACTCCCTCCTCTTTTCCCAACAGCTTTCCTTTACAATGTCTCCTAAAACAATATATTCTTCCTAGAATCACTCCTATTTTCTAGGTGTTTCTCTAACCATTTCTTTCTCTAAAAATAAGATATTCCTTTATATGCTGACGATACTGTTACCATACCAAGGTAACAGTATTACAGGGATATAACTGGACCTCACTATTCTTGGTGTCTAAATACACATCTGTTGGTCATTTCTTTGTTAATACTAATTGTTTGAACTAATCTACAATATTGATGCTAATTAAGATATAGTTCTTCTATAGGAATGCCATTTATTCATTCAGTTGAGAGTTACTGCCAACACAGTTGATGTTCACTGCTAGATGGTGTGGTTCTAAGAACAAGAACTAACAATGAATAGTAACCATGAGTCAGACTCTGCTGTAGGTGTTTTATATTAACTAATTTTTATCTTATGAGGTGGGTCCAGTTACTAAATCCATTTGGCAAATGATGAACTAAGGCACAGAGAGACAAAGTAATAAGAAACTTGCTCAGGGTCACAAAATAAGAAAGTAGCAGAGCTAGTCACAAACTTTGGCGGTGAACCAACAGTGATCAAAACAGATCACTCACCTGCAAAGAGTTCACAGCCCCAGTGTAATACACAGGTAAAAAGGCAAACGAAAGTTCACACATATGAGAACTCAGAAGCTAGAGCATTAACCAGCCCGGACAAGCTTCTGGAAGGCTGTGATATCTAAGCAGACACATGAAAGATAACTTGGAGATAACAAAGCAAAGAAAAAAGATAGCCGGGCTCAGTGGCTCAGCCTGTAATCCTGTGCCTTTGGGAGGCTGAGGTGAGTGGACTGCCTGAGCCCACGGGTTCGAGACCTGCCTGGGCAACTTGGCGAGACCTCATCTCTGCAATAAATCAAAAATGGGCCAGGCGTGGTAGTGCGTGCCTATAGTTCCAGCTACTTGGAAGGCTGAGGTGGAAGGATCGCCGGAGCCCAGCAGGTCGAGGCTGTGGTGGCCAGGAGCGGTCACTGCACTCCAGTCTGGGTGACATAGTGAGACTCCAACTCAAAAAAAAAAAAAAAAAGAAAGAAAGAAAAAAGAGGGAAGAATCTTCCAGCAAGAGTTGAAAGAAAGTGGCAAGTTTGGGAATTCTGAAAAAGTTCAGTATAGCTGGAATATAAAGTGTCAGGAAAAGAGCGAAAAAGGGATAACTTTGGAGAGGTAAACAGGAATTGGATCATGAAAGGACTTGTAGGACATGTCAGACCATATTTCTGTTATTTTTTTTCTCCCAAATCACTGACAGCACTGATTTAGCTTTAAAAAGCAAAGGTTTTTCAAATAGGCTCTGAAATTTCTTATATACATACCTTAGAAAATAGCTCAAAGACCATCTTCTGGCAAGCTTTCTCATAGGGGTCATCTGGAAGCAGCTTCTTCCCTGGATATGCTTCATCCAGGTACTCACATGTAATGGCAGATTCGTAAATCAGTTGACCCTGACTGTTTTCCAGAACTGGCACCAGACCAAGGGGGTTCTTCTTAAAGAACCAGTCTGGCTTATTTTTCAGGTTGATATTGATGACTTCATGCCTGAAAAACACATAGAAGACCACAAAGAGAAGAAACATTTCTTGTACTTTTGAATAAATCTTCACCGGTCCTGCCATTCATTTAGCTGATCAGATCCCAAATTTAGGAGTCAGCTCTGCCTTGATTTTATTTTATTTTTTTTGTCCCATGGTTCTTTTTTTTTTTTTTTTTCTGTGATTTTTTTTTTCTGTGTTTTCTTCGATGGTTTTTGTTGTTGTTGTTGTTCTGGTTCTGTGAATTAGACTATTTTGGATATCTCCTATAAGTGACCTTTTTAAATATACCTTGAATTTGCCAAACACGTTCCTACCTTAGAGTCTTTGTGCTTGCTGTTCCTTTGTCTTCATTTCTGCCTGTCTTTCTTAAGATCTTCCCAGGTCAAATACACATCTGCAGAGAGGCGACCCTCCATACCCTGACCATGGCTCTGAACTTGCTAAGCAGCCCCTCTCTATTACATGGTAGTCCTGCTTTACTGTCTTCATTGAACTGATGATAGGTAACCAAAATTACTTTGCTTACTTATTTATAAGTTCAAGTCTCCTTCCTAGAATGTAAACTCCAATGAAAGCTTAGATTCTTGTATCTTCTTCATATTAATAAACACATACATAAATGAGCAAAATTTCAAATACACGTACATGCTATGAAGAAAGTAAAAACAGCTTCAAATAGGGACTCAGAAAGTATTTGTGGGATGAATGGATAAATAAGTCGAAATGCTTTAAAATTGTCAATAAGATATTCCATTTTTGGCTAAAAATTATCTTAGCTGTAAATTATATGAAACAACTAATTGAATTGTGTCCACTAGCCACTATATGAGAACGAACATGATAAAATTAAATTTCTGTTGTTAATTGAATAAAAAGTTCCTACTTTTTAGGAGAATATTAAAGAATCCTAAAAATCTACCCACAAAATAAACTTTCAGATTAAATCTCCATGCATTGATATGTTTTTTTAAAATGTTGCATGGTTAAATCATACAAAGTAAACTAAAAAGGAAGAAAACAAATGAAATCCAGGCTATATTCAGGTTGTATTTAAGTCTATCTTGTATCTTGCCTGAGAGATTGTAGAGGAAATACTAGAAAGTGTTATATAATTAGTTGTTAAAACCAGGTCTATGTAATTGTCAGAGTGTTAATAGAACAGAGTTCTAAAAAATAATATATAGGAATACCTTTTGTTTCCTATATCCACATCCACAGCAGTAGCTAGGATAGCAGTTAGTTTGAGAATTTAAATATTTAATCTCCCATTAAAACTAAGGAACAGCCAGTTTGAACACCAGCATAGGTGTGAGTATATAATAAAAGGTTCACGTGCTGACAGAATACTGGACACTCAGCTACCAGCCATTGCAAAAAAAATTCTTTTGTCCCTTGCCAAAGAATTACCAACATTTCTGAACATTTATACTCTGAAAACAAAAGGTATATCCTGGGCTTTTGTGATGAAGAAGTCTCTTAGAACCCACATGCATTTTGGTAACCTGGCATTGTGAGCCAACAAGTCAACACACCTGCTACAACAAGTTGGAAGTTGCACCTTTTAGCAAAAACCATACTTTGTTAAGTTATATCATGTGGTAAAAATTTAGTACTTCAATAAAATTCTCCTGCGGCTCAAGCTTAAAAGTGGTCCATGAATGTAGTAGACCTCTGTTGCTTGCACTATCTGGAAGCTATTACTACGCTCTTTCCTCTTCACCTGTACGGTGACCATTTATGTACCTAATCTGAATTGTACCTCACATCTTTAAATTAAAAAAAATAAAAAAAAATAAAATAAAACAAATATCTGTCCAACAAACATCCAAATTTCATTGGAAGGGAAGTGGTTCCAATGATACTTGGTGTCAGAAAAAAACCACGTGCCTATTGTACGTGTCCTGTGGATAACCCATAAATCAAAACTATGTTAGTTTCGAAACTGAGTCTTTGCCAATGAACAAACTTCTGGGCATAGACACTTCCCTCTATTGACTCAACGACAACAATGCAAACTACAGAAATATGTACAGTAAACTCAGTACTGCTAAGAGGGTCAAAGTCTGAACTCCCCTTCAGGGAGGGACCGTATACTTAGAATTAGCAGCTAACAGTATAGAATAAGCTGAAAAAAGATGTAGAATCGCAGTAGGGCGAAAGTGAATAGACACCGGACCAGGAATCCAGAACTTGCCAAAGATAAAGCTGCCAGCTATTACCGGGCAAATCACTAACTTTACCGGAGCCTCAGCATTCCTAGTCCGTTAAATGGTTAGTTAATCTAAATAAGATGTCTTAGACTGAAAAAAACGGTGGCATATTTTTCCTAGGGAGAAAGTCCATAACTTGGACTTTCTCCCCAAAGGGTTTAGAATAGTTTATTTTGCAGTAAAAGCAGCTCTGGGGGCCCTACCCAAGCCTCCCACCCCCATTGCCTGCAGCAGCTGGTTTCCGGGCGGCTCGCGGAGCGTCCCCCACCTGGGTCCTCACCTGATTCCCTTGGCGTTCAGGACCAGAAGCGTCCTCTCAGCAAACGCGCAGAACCTCATGCTGTAGACGCGGATCAGACCTTCGGGGACTGGCCCAGGGGGCGCGCTTCCTGCCGGGGAGAGGCAAAGGCGGTTAGACTCCGAACGAGGTCGGGACCCTCAGCCCCCGCCATCCCCTAGTCCCAATGCAGCTCTGGCCCGTCCCCCGCCGGTGTCGGAGCCTCACTTCTACACGCTGCCGGGGTCGCCGAGATCACCCTCCCCCAAGCGGCTGGAAGGTCTCACCCCGCGCCATACTCCTGGCGGACACCCCAGCCATCGTGGTGCAGCGCAGGCTGAGCTGCCGGAACCGCGGGCTCTGGGGTTTGCAGTCGATTCAGGAAGTAGGTGGCCCCTCCCTCTTTCCCTTCTTCGGTCCTTCCCTCCCCTAAAAGTGCCTGCCCCAGGCGGCCGTCAGCTCAACCCGGGCTGTGTGCCCTGGACCTCGCGCTGCCAAGACACAGAAAGCCAGTGCGCGCGCGCAGCGAGCTCTTGGGTGACCGCCACCAATCTGCACTATTATTTTCCACCATCTGCAAGATGTAACCCGCGGCCGCTGCTGCCTGAGAGCCTGGTGTGAAAACGCGGCCAAGTCACCTACCCAGATGCTTCCCGACCCAAATCGGCCCTCCAGGTTTTATGGGTTATCCCTTAAAACGCCGTACGTGGCTGTTGTGCCAGTGTCGCCTGCTGGCCAAGAGATGCGCCCACGAGGAGAGGAACGAAAGGTCACATGTTCAGAGCTATGCCCCCGTCCCAAACGAAGATGGTCTCCAGTCCGCCCTCCCCACGGGTCACGCCTGACCCCGGCCCGGATCTCCCGACCTCCTGCACTTAGACCCCGGACCAGGAAGGCCCTCCCGGGCCACCCTCCAGTGGAGCTGACTTTGGAAATGGCGCCCTCTTTAAATAAAGTCCATGTTAAGAGTACATAGGTGTCAGTGTTCTGCAAAACTTGTTATTACGTCGGGATTGCTCCAAGTCATCTCTGAAGTCCCAACCCACCCCACCCCACCCCACCCCACCCCACACCACCCATTGTGACTCCAGCCTCAACCAAGTATTTCCAGGGTGTAACTTTCTGACTTTTTATTACTCTGTAATGTAATTTGTCATTCTTATAAATCCCACTGTTTTCCTCTTTTCTCATCTCTCCTACAAAGTCTTCCTCCTACATTATTTTATCTTTCACTGAGTACTAGTTTGCCAAACATGTAGCAAAGTGCCACCCATAGACCCTGCAAAAGGTACCCCTACCATGGGCCCCACACTTTAGAGAGCCCACACGTCCGTCCTGTGGGATCCACCTCTCAACACTCCCCCAGCATGACGGCAACTCTAAAGATCTGCCATATGACTTCACGTTTTCCCTATGTCCTTGAAACAAAAGGTTACACATGCTGTGAGGTTTGTGTGTTGTGCCCTCACCTATGTCAGAGGTGGGAACTACTGAAGGAGTGTGTGGGGGGAGTGGGGGACGGAAGAATCTGACTGGTGGAAATGCTTGGATAAGAGAAAAGACATTAATGAATTTGTTGACTCCTATTTTCAGAGAGCATGAATGTATTCATTTATTCAGTATTGCTTCTTGCATAATTAAGTATTGTTTCCCAGTAGAACCAAGGGACAATTCTCTTGCTTCTCTTTGGTTCCAATTGAATTTTATTCTAGGACTTCCCATAAGTTAATGTGGTATTGACAATAGTTGCACTTGGAGGTTGAGGAATGGTTTGCAATATAAAACAAATGGTATTACCCCTACATTTATGTGTGTATATAGGTCTAGGTGTAACGTGTAGGAAACCTGATACACATTCTTTACTTTGACAACTAGATGAATATTAAACATTAGAATTATAAACATCTGTTTATGTAAAAATATTTACTAAAATTTTATTAAAAATTAAATTATTTAGCTTTAAACAATTTTGACTTGAATTTTTAATTTTCTATCTTGTGACTTGTATTTGACTTTTTTTTTTTTGAGTTGGAGTCTCACTCTGTCACTCAGACTGGAGTGCAGTGGCTGCTCTCGGCCTGGACCTGCTGGGCTCTGACCTGCTGACCTTCCGGCCTCGACCTGCTGGGCTCCAGCGATCCTTCTGCCTCAGCCTTCCAAATAGCTGGAACTACAGGTGCGTGCTACCATGCCCGGCTAATTTTTTATTTTATTGTGGAGATGCGGTCTCGCCAAGTTGCCTGGGCGGGTCTCGAACCCGCGGGCTCAGGCAATCCACTCACCTCAGCCTCCCAAAGCGCTGGGATTACAGGCTGAGCCACCGTCCCCGGTGTATTTGACTTTTAAATTTAATAATTAACTTAAAATAATCGGACAAATGGTTTATGAGTTTTTATTTATATTGTTGCCTTAGAATTAAGGGTGGGCCTGATGTGACAATCCTCAGTCTTGTGAACTCACTTTATTGGTTTTTGCCATTAAAGCATTATTTAAAACCATATATTTGGTGTGTTATTTGTTTGCATGTTGATCTACAGATCTTTTTCGTGTTTCAACCTAGTGTAGTCCTTTCAGCATCAAGAGAAAGGTAAGTAACTTGGGACATGAAATGAATCATAAAGCTATGCTACAAAAACACTCTAAAATTACTTGAAGTTTAAAAAAAAAATCTGAATCTGTTAGATTTAATGCACAGAATAATAACATTCAGCCATTTTCACTAACTGCCCCAGGATCTCCATTAAAATGTAACCTCTTCCCATATTATTTATTCGAAAATTTTGGAAATTATTAAGAATTTCCTATTTTTACTCTTTTTCCAGAAAAAAAATGCTTAATTTAAATTAAATGCCCAAGTCGCTTTAAAATTTCCATGTTTAGCCGGGCTCGGTAGCTCAGCCTGTAATCCTGCGCCTTTGGGAGGCTGAGGTGACTGGATTGCCTGAGCCCGCGGGTTCGAGACCCGCCTGGGCAGCGAGACCTCATCTCTACAATAAATCAAAAAAATCAGCCGGGCGTGGTAGCGCATGCCTGTAATTCCGGCTACTTGGAAGGCTGAGGCGGAAGGATCGCCCAAGCCCAGCAGGTCGAGGCTGCGGTGGCCGGGAGCGGCCACTGCACTCCAGTCTGGGCGACAGAGCGAGACTCCAACTCAAAAAAGTAAATAAATAAAAATAAAATTTCCATGTTTGCACATCTCCTGGAAAGAATGGTAGCACGCATGTAATTTCGGCTACTTGGAAGGCTGAGACAGAAGGATCGCCAGAGCACAGCAGGTCGAGGCTGCGGTGGCTGGGAGCGGCCACTGCACTCCAGACTGGGTGACCGAGTGAGACTCCAACTCAAAAGAAAGAAAGAAAGAAAGAAGGGTTTCGTTTTGGTTTTTTTTGTTTTTTGTTTTTTAAGACAATTAACCCAGGTTTAAATCTGTTGAAAGTTGTAAAATTTTGGGCAAAAATCTTAACTTTTCTGAGTCTCAACTTCCTGGACTATTCAGTAAGGATTAAATAATACATATTTTCTAAGGATGTAATATGCCAGGCACAGAGTAGCCGCTAGTATATGTTAACTCATATTATATTGGATGAGATAGCAGAGCAGAGAGGAAGCCTGTGCAGAAGATATAGCTTTCAGAAGCAGTTGGACACAGGTTTGAACCCAACTCTGCACTAACTAAATGTGCAAATTTGAATCTCTTACTTCACCTTTCCGAGCCTCAGATTCCTATATAGCATGGTTTGTGGGTAAATTCAAAATTTATCAAGCTCCTAACACACACTAGGAGCTTACTAAATTGTGGTTTATTTTTATCACTACTATAAGGGTGGTCAATTACCAAAGACTAAGTAGATATTCCCTCTCATAACAGATTCTTCCTTTACTTTCAAAACATTCATTATTTACATTTATTTTTGCACAATGCTCAGTTTTTAAAAAATTTTCTCATTAAAATGTTACTTGTCACAAAGAACAAATAATTAACTAATAAACCAGAGATCATTTATTCTTCTACCTAATGAAATACTTTCTAGTATGCTGTACAATCTTTTCCTATGTTTAAATGACCATAGAAAACGTAGTTAATGTGTGAAAAATGTAGTCAAAATTCATCTTTCAGATTATCTTGGAGTTTGGCTGGAACATGACAGAAGCCTGGACTGAAAGGATCGCTTAGTGGGAAGTACGCTTTTTTTGTTTTGTGGCTGGTTGAGGGCTGGTTTGGGTTTTAGGTCTCAATAAATTTGAATTGATCACTGCTCCTTTGAACTGTTAAACAAGTTGAGTTTTCCTATGAAGACATAAGACCTTACACTGAGGATTAGTATTACTCTGTCCAGGATTGGCCTGGTGGTGATGTGGAGACCTACAGGGAAAAGAGGAGGTTGGGAGGGACAGGGCCAATTTAGGAGAGTTGGGCACTTCCTAAAAATGGTGTAACACACTGGTTATTACCTTAGGAAGTCAAAGACTGCTCCCTGGGTCACTGACTAGAGGTGTAACTGTGGCTTTTAGATTTTGTTTCTAATACTCATAAATCTTTCAGAATGAGAACTGGAACACATTTTTCTGATTTATCCTTCCCAGTCCATTTCCTGGGCTGATCTGTAACTCCTTTTCCAGACTAAGAAAGAAAGGCCATTCATCTTTCTGAAACCTGGCACAGTATAGAGGTGGACATCTCCTTCTGAATATCAACCATGGGTATCCCCAGAAACCTCTCTTTTCATCTAAATCACAAAATCAAGATTTCAAGTTAAGATGCCCCCAAGACTACCTTTTCAATTTAATACCATTTAATTCCTCTTGTGATCTAACACAGAGGAAGGTAATTTTCCCAAGTTCATGGCTGATTCCAACCCAGGTCAGAATTTCTCTCCTGGAGTCTACATTCCTACCTACCTTTCATCCTCTACCAATCACTTACTTTGGGAACAAGACAATGATTTCCTCATATTCTTCTTGGGGGCTGGCTTTAAAATACTGAGGTTGTGGCTAAAGGTATGAAAGTGGGAAAGGGGAAGTCTTGGTCAAAACACAAAAAAGTTAAATAGTGAGGGGGTGGCAAGAAAAAGATCGACTTTTCCCTTTGCCACTCCTCCCTGTGACTCTGAAATATGGTGTTTTTGTCAGCCAGTTTTGTGCACCTCCTAAAACCTATGTATTATGTATGTTTGGCACTTACATTTCAGCAGAGAAATGCATCTCCATTCCTTTCTCAACCCATCTCAGCGAAAGTCATTGCCATCTCTGTGTTAATCAAAAATCTAGGAATATCTTTGACTCGTTCAGATTAAAAATTCATCTGTCCAGGATTGTCCATTTTTACCAATCAACAAATCCTATAGCTTTTTCTTTCCAAAACAACTTTTTAATACATTGACTTATCAGTGGTTTTCAACGGGGGTGATTTTTGCCCCCAGGGGACATTTGACAATGTCATCGGATATTTTTGATTGTCACAATTGCAGAGATGCTGCTGGCAGGGATGCCACTAAACATGCTACAATACATAGGACTATCCTCAATACAGCTCAAAATACCAAAAGTACCCGAGTTTGAGAAATTCTGTTTTAGCTACACTTACTAGGACCATAGAATAGACTCCTGATAAATCTTCCTATTTCAATTCTTCCTGTTCTCCTATCCAGGTGATAATCCTGCAAAGATGATCTTTTATAAACAAAGATCTGATCTTGTCACTCCCCTGCTTACAACCATTTAATGTCTTGTAGGGAAGGAGAACATATAGTACTTTTTCTTACCCATCATATGGGTTACAGCTGACACTCCTGTAACAACAGCAACAACAACAAAACCCAAACAAACAGATTAATAAGAGAAAAGCATAAGAAATGTGTTAAATCAAAGTTTTATATAACACAGGAGTCTTCATAAATGAAGACTCCAAAACCAGGGGAAGCTATTTTTCACTTAGGTTAGATGAAGAGTGGACAGTCATGTAAAAATGTGATTGGACAAAAAGGGTATGATGGCTGGGGAGTGGAGGCTTGCAGAAACCCAGCAAATCCTATCTATTCAGATTCTTCTTGGTCCCTCTGTATAGGATTATTTTCTCCTGGGTATAGAGCAAGATGCCTCTAGAGTGAGAGTCTTATGACTTACCATCAGACAAAGTAGGTCAGAGAATGTCTTTATGGCCAGCTCCTACACAGAGAGGCAGGGAAAAATTAGAATAATTTTTCTAGATTTTTATGGCTTACTCTGAGAGAGAATTCTAGTTTCTATGACCCTAGTTGGAGAATAGAAATTCTGGTTTCAATTACTTATTTCATGGGAGAAACAAAGGCAGGAGACAGGAGAGCAGGAGAAAGTCAGAGAGATTCTTTGTTTTTGAGGCTGCTTCTGAGGCCTTTCCAATCTCCTTTAGTTCAAAGTACACAGCGTGCCAAAGCTCCAGACTTTGGAGTATCATTTTCTGAGTCCCAACAGTCTTTTTATGATACTCAGGCTAAAGGTTAGAATTTTCAACTTGTCCTTCACCTGGCCCTTGGTTCCTTCTCCAAGGTGTCAATGGTTGAAAAGTTACTCAAAAGAAAACTTTTACGGCAAGGAAGATTCTGACTAAACCAACTTAACTGGATTCTTGCTGAAGATGGGCCAGCGTGATCAGACATCATCTGGGGGATGGTAGAGAACTAAGAACCTGATCAGAGATTGTAGGGGTGATGGTGATGAGTGGGGGGGGGGGGCGGGGAGGTGGGGGGAGGAGTTCTTGACAAACTGACTCAGCAGATTCTTTGTTAAAACTGGATTTTATAAGGAAATTAATAGATTAGCCTAGAAGAAGGCTTAGGAGTCTGACTAAAGTTTGGCCAAACAGAGAATTTTTGTCTCTAGGTGAGAACCCCAACATAAGCATTCCTAGTTTCTTTTCTTCTTATTTCAAAACAAAATGCTATACTTGTGCAATGATGTGGTTATCTGTTTCCCTTCCCTGGCTCCACCAGACTCTAAGTTCCAAGAAGGAAGGAATTTTATCTGGTCTTCTCACTATTTATTTTCCCCAAGTGACTAGTACAATGCATAAATGCATGGAAGATGCTCAGTAAACAATTGCCAAAGAAAGGAGAGAAGATGGCAAGACGAGAGAGACCTAAAGGGGGAGGAAAAGGCAGAGAAGAGGAGAGGATAGGAGAGGAGGGAAGGAGAGAATAAGGGAGGGAATCTAAGGAAGAGTATGGGAGAGAAGGGGAAGGAAGAAGCAATGGCAAGTTGCTGAAATATTCAATCAGGTTACTTTCAGAAGCTGTCTGCTTTTTTGAAGTAGCAGGGTACTCTGGAAAGTATTATATAGTAATAAGGGCTCGGAACCCTAGATTTAGACTAGACCTGGATTTAAGTCCCTATCAGTTTTGCAGCCTAGGGCAAGTTAGGTACTTCTCCTATCTTCACTTTCCTTATCTGTAAAAAGGGGTTAATGGGCGATGTGAAGACACTGGAACGTGTGGCACGGTCAGCACTCAGAATGAGCGTCTGCCTTGTCATTTATTAAAATGTAATTATTTTCCCGAGCTGGGCGGCTCGGGAACACTCGGAGGGGCCCGCCCTGCGTTCCGCTTGCCGCTCACCCATTGGCCGAGACGCCTCTGCACTTCCACCAATCCGCTTGGCGCGAAGAAGAGGGGCGTCCAAGGACAGAACCAATGGGCGCAGGGGTTACGGTCTCCGGGTTACAGATGTAGACAGTGGAAGTTTTGCTGGTCCGGCATTTGCTGCTCGCGGCCCAGCTGAGAAAAACACGGCGGATGGCGCAAGGCCGGGAGCGAGACGAAGGCCCCCACCCCGTTGGCAGCGCGTCCCTGTCCGTGAGGTGTGGCGTTCACCGCCCCGCGACCGACTTCAGTCTCGAGGAGACTTCTAACCTGCATCCCCGCCCCGCGCTCTTTTCTTCCCCCTACACACCGGCTGGCCCCCAAACTTCGACCTCTTCTCCGCCACCTCCACCGCCTTCCCACAGACTGCCTCCCTGTCTGGTCTCTTCTGTCTGATCCCCCATCCCCTTCCTTATTCAATGACCCCGTCTCCATTTGCCTTTTCCCCTCATTCTGCGACTTCGACGACCTTCGCTCGCTCGCTCAGCATTACTCGTCTCCATCTTTCACTTCTGCCTCCTCTTTCTGGCTCAGTATTCCCTTCAGTAATCCGGTTCCCTTGACCTTTGAGACTTACCCCCGCCCCAACCCCAATCCCTGGGTCGACCTCCATCTCATCCTTATTGTCCTGGGTGATTTCCCTTAAAGTCAAGACCTTTCTTCTAACTCCCATCCACTAACTTTGGATTTATTTGCATTTATAGTGGCCTTTGAAAGCCATAAAGCGCTACACAGATATACAGAAATATGTGGTATTTCTGTCCACATTCTAGAGTGTTACTTTCGCTCTATTCCATACAGCAGTGTCCGTCAGTCCTGTACTCCACAATCTCGAGGTTACTCGCCAAACTAATGTCCACCACTTGCCTTTCCACCATTTTCAAACATATCTTTAAGAATTAAATAAAAATAGAATCTCCTACTCTACTTCCTTCTGGCATACACCTACCACACACACCTTACTTAAAAGTATGTTCCTTTCGTGTTCTAACCTTTCTTTCATGTCGACTTTATTCCTTTTATTTTCTGCATTACTCTGTATTTTTAGATCGAAAATATGGCTATATTTTTCGTCTGTGTAAAGGAGTAATTTTCTTACTTGACTCACAATCACAGTGCATGCTTGTTTACTCAAAGCTGTTTTTTAAAATTTATTTTATATCAAACTAATAATAAAATAGCCTAGGATGCACCCTGTTTTGTATTAGGTCAAGCTCTTTTCTCTCTCTGTTACTGTCACTTTTTCTCTTCCAAGTACACAAGACCCTAGAAGTTCTTCTGAGATTTTTTTAGGTTTGGTCAGAGAGTTTTCTTTTTCTTTTTTTTTTTTTTTGAGTTGGAGTCTCACTCTGTCGCCCAGACTGGAGTGCAGTGGCCGCTCCCGGTCACCGCAGCCTCGACCTGCTGGGCTCCGGCGATCCTTCCGCCTCAGCCTTCCGAGTAGCCGGAATTACAGGCATGCGCTACCACGCCCGGCTGATTTTTTTTATTTATTGTAGAGATGAGGTCTCACTGCCTAGGTGGATCTCGAACCCGCGAGCTCAGGCAATCCACTCACCTCAGCCTCCCAAAGGCGCGGGATTACAGGCTGAGCCACCAAGCCCGGCTCAGAGAGTTTTCTTTACTGAAAAAGTTCTCTGAAGAAATCTCTTGAGACCTATGGAGCTTTAGGTCTGCATTTAAGTTTCTATAATTCATTGACTCAAACTGGTCTTACATCCAACATATGTGTTCTTTTATCCTAGAGATTGTTTTCGGTAGAAAGCACGTGAAAATAGAATAGATGTGTTTCAAAGATTTTGATAACTTTTGTTTTCTTTGTTAAAAAAAAGAAAGAAAAAGTATTTGAATTATATATTGATGTTGACGTATCTTTTCCCAAAGATGGGTGCAAGGATTCCCTAAGCAGAATGTTCATTTTGTCAACGACAACACCATTTGCTACCCTTGTGGGAATTTTGTAATATTTATTAATATTGAAACAAAGCAAAAGACTGTTCTCCAGTGTATGAATGGCATTGTGGGCGTCATGGCAACTAACATTCCCTGTGAAGTTGTGGCTTTTTCTGACCGGAGGCTAAAACCTGTTATCTACATATACAGCTTTCCTGGATTGACCAGAAGGACCAAATTAAAAGGTATCCTGGAGAACCCTTTCTCTAACATAACTGAAGGATTTTGTTATAAAATTTGACAGAACCTTGTACTTATAAATGAAGGTGGTTTGTTTTTTGAAGGTGTGTGTGTGTGTGTGTGTGTTTACACACACATTTTAAAAGAAGGAATCAAGCTGCTCACTGAGGATATAATTAAGTGGGCTAGAGCCTTGCTACTCAAAACATGGTCTGTTTATCCCCAACATGGGCACTGCCTGGGAAGCTTCTTATAAATGCAGAAACTTGGCTCCCACTCCAGATCTGCTGAATCAGAATCTGCATTTTAACAAAATTCCCCAAGTGATTCAAATGCATATTAAACTTTGAGAAACACTGGGCTGGAAGACTCTATTACTTTTTTCAGAACAATGACTTTTTTCCTTTCCTAATAATTTGTTGAAAATCCAGGTATAGGCCGGGCTCGGTGGCTCAGCCTGTAATCCTGTGCCTTTGGGAGGCTGAGGTGAGTGGATTGCCTGAGCCCGCGGGTTTGAGACCCGCCTGGACAACTTGGCGAGACCTCGTCTCTACAATAAATCAAAAAATCAGCCGGGCGTGGTAGCGCATGCCTGTAATTCCGGCTACTCGGAAGGCTGAGGCAGAAGGATCGCCGGAGCCCAGCAGGTGAGGCTGTGGTGGCCGGGAGCGGCCACTGCACTCCAGTCTGGGCGACAGAGTGAGACTCCAACTCAAAAAAAAAAAAAAAAAAGAAAAAGAAAATCCAGGTATATTAATGTTTGTATAACTTCTAAAGACAAGTCTTTGAGCCTCAGTTTCCTCATCCATGAAATGAGGACAAAAGTAGTTGCTAATGGGAAAGCTGTGATGATGATAGATGAAAATATATATGCATACTGTATATGCCAGTTGCACAATCAGTGTTACCTACCATTTGAATTACTGTTGACTCATTTATAGATACAACTGACCTAGACTGAGCTGCAGCTTGTCTACTGGAGCCTCCATCTCATGAGTCTCTCATTTAACATACCATGGACAGAAAGCTCAAGCTTGAGGCTGGTCTTAGTTCTGTAGTCTTATGGATCAAATATGTATTTCAGTGCATCAAAGAACTTCACTATAAATTAAAATATTTTATCTGTGGGGAAATTTGTCGGCATTTTCAACAGATTAAAACACCTTTTAAAACAAAACCCATGCACGGTTTGATAACTGTCTAAGTGGACCATAACTATCCTTCATCTTTAAAATTTCCTCAACTTGGCTATTTGGCTGTCACCCTGCTCAAGCAATTGAAGGTTAAATCAAGCCAGTAGCCAACATTCATATTGAATAATTAAGCCCTAAAGAAATTCACAATGAAATTAGGAATAAGTCATCAGGATACCTTTTATTATTAATACTATTATTTAATATCAACCTAGAAGTTCTAGACAATGCAACAAAATACAAAACAGGAAAAAATTTAGGCTAAAAAATATATAGAGCTAAATTTTAAATTGGAGATTTTTTCCTGGATGGAAAGCTTGTTTATTATAAATAAATATATTTCTGATAGTTGTCACAGAAAGTAATTCATAGGTTTATCATATGTATTAGAGAACAAGGAACACTTAAATGAGATGATTCCAAAATTCATCTGGAATAAAAACATAGAGAATGAGAATAACTTGGAAAAGAATAATGGCAAGTTAAAGGGTCATATTAACATTATGGTCCTCGAGTTATCAGAAGTGTGGTATTGGTGTGGGGATTACCAATCAGTAGAACAATTGAAGAATACTGGGGACAGAATCTAGAGTATATAAAAGTTGAGTAAATAATGAAAGAAGCTCCCACCAAAAAAAGAAAGACAAGAATACATTGACGAAGGTGTTAAGAGAACTGAATGTTTGAACTAAAATATTAAATTAGGTACTCTATTAAATATTTGACACACTATATATTAAGCATCAAATGAAAATAAGCATTCAATATAAATAATAAATTCATTTGAAAAGTAGTAGTAGAAAGTATGGTACAATATTGAAATGATTTCAGGATAAAGAACATTCCACATGAAGGAAAAACAAAAAGATTGATATGTTTGATTATATGTTAAAACTTATGAACATCAAAAAAATATGAAAAATTATAAGGCAAATAACTGGGAAAATATTTGGAACATTTATAAAACAATAAGAAAAAAACGTAAACGTTTCTTTAGAACAATGGAAGATAAATATGAAGGGGAACAAAACAAACCCCAGGATTTATTAATTTAAAAATTGTTTATTCATTCTTAAATGTTTAAACTTCACTCACCTGCAAAACACTCTCTGTTTAATGCAGTATACCTATTGAGATGCTTTTTCCACTGCTAAAAACAGTTTTTGAACTTGTCAATGCTTTCTTTCTTTTTAATTTAACCGCTTCCACATTGGCAAAACATTTCCCCTTGAGAACTTTTTTCATCCAGGGAAATAAAGTTGCTCAGGGCAAGATCGGGTGAATAGGAGGGTGGGGCATGAGGTTCATGTCATTTTCAGTCAAAAATCTGCTGAACGCTGCACAGTGTGGGCAGGTGCATTCATAAATCACCCATCATGAAATGGGCAAATGTGTTGAAAGACTCCCCCACACAAAAATTCACTGAAACCGAATGCCGACTCTTACAGCAATGCTACCTGGTACACTGATGCCAGTGGGTTCCTAGAACACTTACCTAGTGGGAGAAGCATGTACTACAAGGGGTCTGCCCTCCAAAAACTAATTCTGTTTATTTTGGGGGGTTCCCCCTTTTATGCCCAAACAAATCACAAAATTGCAAATGACCAAAGATGGAAAAGGCACTACCTCAATATGCATCTTAAATAGTGTATTTTAAACCAATATGCTACTTTTCTGCCTATCAAGGTCACAAATTTTTTTAAAGATCATAGTTGCTAGGCAGATGCAGTGAAATTGGTAACTCTTGTTTGCTAAAGGTGGGAGTACAAATTGATAGTCTTTCTGAGGAGTAAATAGTCTGTTTGATCCAGTATAACCACTTAAAGAAGTATAATTCAATTTTAAGGAAATAATTAGAAATACAGTCAAAGGTTTATGTGCTAAGGTGTTAAAGGCACTATCATAATAGCAAAAGATTGAAAACAGCATACATCTCCAGTATTAAGGTATGGTTAAATAAGTAAAAGCATTCTATAAAGGGGTATTGTGAAAACATTTAAAAAAAACACATTTTTGAAGAAATGTTTAGATAATGATAATACTTAATATAATGTAAATAAAAATCCAACAGGATGGAGTACTCTATAATCCAATTCCATTTTAAAATGGATTATTATATATAATATTTATTCCATGGTTGTTATACTTATAAAAGGCAAAGTTATATTTAAAGAAACTATATCTGTTATGTATTTTTTCAGTAAACACACAGAAGAAAATACCTGAAAATACTAGAAAGAAATTTACTAGAAAGAAATTTGGTGGTAGGATTATAGGATATATTTCTTCTTATGCTTTTTTTTGTATTTTCTTCAAACACCAAAATGTTTTAAACATAAAGAATATATAAAATTAGTAATCTTCAGTTGTGGAAGGAAATGTCTATATATAGTAAAGATAAAAAGTCATTTTATTAAAGCCTCTGCCCACAGAAAAAAATATTTTAAGTTTTGCATTGAATTCTTAATAAATATTTGTTGTTTTCTTTGTATAACCCCATAATGTGACTTTTGTCATTTATTGAATGTATTTAAGTGCTAAATACATTCAATAAATGACAAAAGTCACATTATGGGGTTATACTGTGATCAGTTAAAATAAGAATAATAAAAAAGCAGGAATGAAGCATTGAAGATGCATAGAACAAGCAATAGAGGCATAAATGGAGGAAAACAGACGTTGGAGAGGGCAAAGTTTGCACCTGTGGGACCATACAGAAGAACCACAAATAGAAGAGAGGGAAAATCAGACCCTCATTTACTAGGAAGCAGAGACAGACACTTCTCTGTTTTAATACCCCATGATGTATATTTTAAACAAGTTGTTGCTAAGGCTTTCAAAGTCATGTTGTATTTCTTCAACTATAGGTACATTTAAGAGTAGCACTTTTTTTTCTTTGAATAACTTTGGTACAAAATAGCTTATTATAGTTGTTCCAACAGCTGGAAGATATTAAGATAAAGGCCAGATATGACCTAAGATTTATGGAAATAAGCTAGAATTATTTCAACTCTCCAAGATATTTAAAGTTTTTTGAATACCTGTACTAAATTATAATGTCTCGTATATTTTTATTTTATGATTTTGGGGTCATTTCAAATCATGCTGGGACATACATAGTGCAGTATGCGCAGTTCTGCATTGAAGTCTAGAGATAGTAACGTAATGGTCTCATTTTACTCTAATATCTTTCTTTTTTTTTGAGTTGGAGTCTCACTCGGTTGTCCAGACTGGAGTGCAGTGGCTGCTCCTGGCCACCGCAGCCTCGCCTGCTGGGTTCCGGCGATCCTTCCGCCTCAGCCTTCCGAGTAGTCGGAATTACAGGCATGCGCTACCACGCCCGGCTGATTTTTTGATTTATTGTAGAGATGAAGTCTCGCTGCCCAGGAGGGTCTTGAACCCGCAGGCTCAGGCAATCCACTCACCTCAGCCTCCCAAAGGCGCGGAATTACAGGCTAAGCCACCGAGCCCGGCTAAATATCTTTCTTAAATGGATTTTAGCCCAGCTAATATCTTTCTTAAATGGATCTTAACTTTGCGCTAAGCATTCTGCTCATAGTTTTAGAAATCAGCCAGGAGTTCTCTTATTTTTATAGTCAAATGCTTTTTAGTTGTGTTAAAATCATGAGAAAAGGGAAATAAACTGTAAGATTATAGTTAATCTGAACATGATAATCAGATCCTTGCAATGGATTTTATATTTTAGGCAATGTTCTTCTGGACTACACTGTACTTTCGTTCAGTTACTGTGGCACCTACCTGGCTAGTTACTCCTCTCTGCCAGAATTTGAACTGGCCCTTTGGTAAGTTTCAGCATCCTGTAGAATTGTTTTTACTGAATTACATTTTACTCTTAACCTTCTGGATTTTATCAGAGGACATATACATGAAAAATCTGAAACAGGGAAAAGTGAAAGAAAAAAAATCCTCATCATAAGATTTAAATAGTTGCTATGCTTAGGCATAAAATCTGGTGGTCAGGGCAAAACTGTATGAAAACTAAATTGTTGTTATTCTCTTTTATTATCATGCTGTAATAGTTTCTTTCTCAGATAAAGAATACATCTATAAGTATAGAAAGTTTCATCTTTTCTTAAAATAACTGGCACCTTGACACCTTAGAGTTGTTTGCATGTTTTCTACTAATGTTGAAATTGAAATGGTCTCTATATTAGAACTCAGCTTAAAGTAATTGCTTTTTGAGATATTAGACATTAGAAATCATTGCTTTTAGTGATATATGTTCAGAGAGTGGAAAATTATACCACATTTGCCAGCTGTGTAGGAAATATCTGTGGATAAGACACATTTCTGGCCTTTGCTGGATTATTTCATGTGGCCAGTTTCAAGGCTACACTTTCTCTTCTATCCATGATATCCATGATAAACCCTTTCAGGGCAAGTCTGTCATATTAAGGAGAAGTACAAAATGTTCCAGAATGATTAAGGATATCATACCAGCATTTCTTATACAAAAATATAAGAATCTAGGTTCAGGAAACCACATTTGACCCATGTAAAGTTTTTTTAAAAATAGCTTTATTGAGGTATAAATGAAATATAATAAAGTGCTCATATATAAAGTACACAATTTGATGTTTTGACTTATATATAAACTCACAAAGCCATCATCATAATCAAGATAATAAATATATCCATGAGTCCCAAAAGTTTTTTTGTACCCCTTCAGATCTTCGTATTGGTCCTTACCACTGGTATAGTTTCTGCCACTCTAGATTTGTTTAAGTGTTCTAATATTCACATACAGGGAGCCATACAGTATATATTACTTTCTTTTATCTGGCTTCTTTCATGCAGCATAATTATTTTGAAATTCTAGTATTCTACTGTGTGTGTGTATCAATAGTGATTACTTTCTATTCCATGATATGAACATACTGCACTTTGTCTGTTCACCTGCTGATGGATGTACTGTTAGCTTGCTAGTGCTGCTGTATCAAAATATCACAATCTAAGTGTCTTAAATCAGTGGTTCCCAACATTTTTGGCATCAGGGACCAGTTTCTTGGAAGATAATTTTTCCATAAACCAGTGGAAATATAATTTTTCCATAAAACAGTGGGGGTAAGTGGTTTCGGGATGATTCAAAGACCTAATATTTTTGTGCACTTTATTTCTCTTATTATTACATTCTAATACATAATGAAACAATTATACAACTCACCATTTTTAAAAAAGAGGTGTGGACGGACAGAGTGGTAAATAAAATAGTGGGTGGGTCACACACAGACTGAAATAAGTTTTGGATTCTGACCTAAAGCCTGCCACCAGACGCAGCTGTACAATGGAAGTATATCAACTCGCCACTCACTGATAGGGTTTTGATATGAGTCTGCAAGCAATTGATTTATTATGATCTCTGTGCAGTCAAGCCTCACTACTACTGTTAATCTGTATTTGCATCTGCTTCCCAGTGCTAGCATCATCGCCTCAGCTCCACCTCTGATTATCAGGCATTAGATTCTCAGTGGAGGCGCCACCTAGATCCCTCCCATGTGCAGTTCACAATAGGATGTACCCTCCCGTGAGAATCTAATGCTGCCGCTGATCTGACAGCAGGCAGAGCTAAGGCGGTAGTGGGAGCTCTGAGGAATGGCTCTAAGTATAGATGAAGCGTTGTTCACCTGGCCACCGCTTACCTCCTGCTGTGCTGCCTGGTTCTGATCAGGCCACAGCAGAGTTCGGTTTTGTAACAGAGACCATATATTGTCTCCAAAGCTAAAAATATTTACTGTCTGAACCCTTATAGAAAGAGTTTGCCAACCCCTGACCTAGAAATATATACTTATTACATTTCATTCGTTTACATTAACTTCTGGCCCCTATAGGCTTTTGAGTTTGCTCACTGGGTTTATTTTATTCAATAAATGTTTATCTTCTACTTCCTGTTGGGTATAAAATGTATCTCTTCTTAAGTATTTTACAGCATAGGGGGAAATCTGAGACTTCTGTAAGTAGCACTTTTGATAGGCTGAGGTAAAATTGAGACTAGGGGCAGACGGTATCTCCTCTTCATCTTATCCCTTCCCCTATATTTGCATCTTAATATTCAAGTGTACTTCTATTTAGGAAATTTAGTTGAAGAGGACAGACAAGGGAGCAAGGGTGAGGAAAGCAGAGGGAGGACAAAGAAGATGCTGTAGGGAAGATCAGAAACTACTCTCAGCCGGGCTCGGTGGCTCAGGCTGTAATCCCGCACCTTTGGGAGGCTGAGGTGAGTGGATTGCCTGAGCCTGCGGGTTCAAGATCCGCCTGGGCAACTTGGCGAGACCTCATCTCTACAATAAATCAAAAAATTAGCCAGGCGTGGTAGCGTGCTCCTGTAGTTCCAGCTACTTGGAAGGCTGAGGCGGAAGGATCGCCCAAGCCCAGAAGGTCGAGGCTGCGGTGGCTGGGAACGGCCACTGCACTCCAGTCTGGGCAACAGAGTGAGAATCCGACTCAAAACAACAACAACAACAAAAAACTACTCTCTTGTGAAGAGATTCTCTATGAGGCTCTGCAGTGGCAGAGGTGCCCTGGGGCCCGCTGAATGAGCATGAACAAAGCTGGGAGGCGGATCCTCCTCCAGAACCCCTCTTTGCCACTACAAGGTTCTGAAGCTCTGGGAGCAGCCCTGATGGCATTCTTGAGTGCTGCATATAAAATGTGAGTCATATTTAGTCCTGTGATGAGGGCCCAACAGCCTGAGGCTTCACCAAGTGGCTCTGTCAGCAGTAGCCTAGACAAGAGAGAGCTGGAGGATGAACAGGGAGGAGAATGCAACTTGGTGACAGCAGCTAGTCTGTAGACCCTGAGGACTCCTAGAATTAATTCAATAAAAGTTCAAAGGAAGTGAGCCTCTGGAAGTCAGACCAGAAGGAGTTTAGGTACTGTGATTTGACTGCCAGAATTAATATGTCCAGTTTCATTGGGGAGACAATTACTGAGATTTTCAATGGGTCAGTCCATTAATCCCAACTCCCCAACTCTCCCAAAAAGAAACCCATGAGACATATATGATGGTTGTTATTTTAAAGAAAGAAACTGAAGCTTTAGAGAGATTAGATGTTAAAGCAGAATTTTTAAACAAACAGATTATAAGCACATAAGGTAGTTTAGTATAACTCCTTAATATTGGAATCTAGCAGGAAGATAAAAGAAAGGTGGTCCTTGACTTAGCATTTGGACTGCTGTAACAAAATCCCACAGACTGGGTAGCTTATAAACAACAGACACTTTTTCCTCACAGTTCTTGAGGCTAGAAAGTTTAAGATCAAGGCACTTCAGTGTTTGGTGTGAGGGTCTGCTCCCTAATTCATAGATGGCACCTTCCAGCTATGTTCTCATATGGTGGAAAGGGATGAGCTAGCTCCTTGGGGTCAGGGTCTCTTTTACAAGGGCTCTAATCATAATCATGAGGGCTCTGTCCTTTTGACCTAATCACTCCCTAAAACTATCACCAGAGGGGTTAGAATGTCCACATATGAATTTTGGGGACACGAACATTCAGACTATAGCAGTTCTTGAGTGCTTAAAAGAACACATGCAGGCCTTCTCTTCCTGGTTCTTCCCAGAGACAGTAAAAACTAGGTTAAGAGGGCAGAAGAAACACACACATATACACAAACTAAAAAAATTAGAAAAAGGAATAACTAAATAAAATTTCTAGGATACAAGAATGGTCAACTTTCCAGAGGTCTCTAAAATCATAGCACCTCGAACTTAATTATTCCACCAGGCAATACGGTCATCACATCTTATATGTTCTAGAGTTACTCTAATCTATAAAAGCAGGCCTGCCTTTATCACATGTTAATTAGTATCTGTGACAACAAAGCTACATTCCCAAGAGTGTCAGATAAGACTCAAAGCAAGGTACAAAGTACAGTTTTTGTTCAATGAGTCTTCTTGGGAAATGCTTTCCAGCATGATATGAGAGATCAAGTCAATGCAATTGCTCCTTTCTCCAAGTTTCAGATTTTGTATTCTTATAAGCTACTTGCTTAGATTTATATAGTTGTTGAGTGGGCTTTAAATCCAGAGGGATCTGAGCTCTTTTATAGATTCCAGTGATCTAAGACACAAGGGTAACATATGATAGGGACATTTCATCTAGTATGACAGTAGAATAAAATGGTCAGGGAAGGCTTCCTGGGAAGGAAGGTAATTTTTAAACTGATACTTGTGTTAATTTGGTAGGTCTGACATAACAAAGTACTACGGACTGGGTGACTTAAACAGCAGCAATTTATTGTCTCCCAGTTCTGGAGACTAGAATTATGAGATCAAGGTCTCAGCAGAGTTGGCTCCTTCTGAGGGCTGTGAGAATCTTCTCCATGCCTCTCACCAACTTCCGCTGGCTTGCTGAGAATCTTTGTTGTTCCTTAGTTTATAGACATATCATCCAGATCTCTGCTGTTATCTTCACATGTCATTCTCCATGTGTGTGTGTTTTTATGTGTGTGTGTCTTTCTCCAAACACCCCTCCCCTTTTAGATGAAAAAATGTAGTTTATTTTAAAGTAAATTAGAGAAAGAGAAGGGAGAGAGAAGATTCACCTCCCCAAGGTGGGGGAGGGGGCCAAAGCCAGGAAGCATGGCAACAGCCATAGTTCAAAGAGCACATGGTCACTCCAGAGTCTAGCAAGACAATGGCTCCAAATGTTCCCTTTTTATATGAATATCAGTCTTATTGGATTAAGGTCCACCCTACTGACCTCATTTTAACTTGATTACTTCTGTAAAGACCCTACTTTCAAATGAAGTGATGACCTGAGGGTGCTGAGAGTTAAGATATCAACATAAGAATTTGGGGGAGACACAATTTAGCCCATAGCAATAGCTAATGGATGAGTAGGAATCAGCCTTGTGATGAGGAGAGAGAAGAGAATTCCAAGCAGAAGAATGGCATGTGCAAACACCAGGAGGTAGAGAAAACATGGCAGTTTCTAATATAAAGTTCATAATGATGGGAACAAGAGATTAGCCACGAGAGAGACAAGCCTGGAGGAACAGTCTAAGGCTAGCTCATGCAGCCTTATAAGTAAATTACCATGTAATTTGTCATCCAAATCTAGATGCTTTTGAGAGTGAATGGGGATGTTAATAATTAGTACAGAGAAACAGTCTCAACCTGGGTCTCTTTTGGGCATACAAGGAAGGATACTTATCCTACATATAAGCCATGCCAATGGGCATATCATTTACCCTAAAGGCAGTGGGAAGCTACTAAAGAATTTTAAGCAGGGGTGTGACAATCAAATTTGCATTTAAGAAGACTCCTTCCAATCATATTATAGAAGGCATATTGGAAGGAAACAAGGCATGCGCATCAATTAGGAGACTGTGACAATCCAGGAGAAAATTGATTATGGCATGGATTAGAGTGGGAATAGGGATGAAGGGAAGTGGCGATATTTGAGAAGTGTTTAGGAGGTAGCATTATGGGATGTTGTGTCAGACTGAATGTTGAGTAATGAGGAAAAGGGGCAGGTCAAAAGTTATACCCAGAGACACGACTTGGGCCACTCAAGGACATTATGGTGCTATTCAGAAAGATATTGAGTATGTAGGAGAAGGGTATTTGGAAGAAGCAATGCAGGAAGATGAGTTGAGGGACAAATGGAGTTGAGAGTGCTTTAGATAAATAAGTGGAGATGTCTAGTTGGCAATTGATAAATCAGGTATGGCTTAGGTTCAGTTGCTGACACAGAAACTCAAATCACCAACATGCAGTAGTCTGGGTATGGGAAGCCCATGGATGGTATGGTGGCTCCTTGATGTTGGTGGCCATTCTCCCACTGTTTTATTGCTCTGCTATTCTTAGGGCATTGCCCTTATCTCTAGTCTTTAATGGAATACCAGCCATGTATTTTGGAGAACCAGTGGGAAGGCAAAAGGATGAGCACAAGGAAACAAGCTTTCTGTTGAAGTGCATAGCTTGGAAGCTACACACGCCACTGCCACTTACATTCATGGCTGCTCAGCCACAAATCACATCTGGCTACAAGGGGTGCTGAGAAATATGGTTCTCATTGTGAGTGACCATGTGCCTGACTAAAATCCAAGAGTTCTGTTACTTGGAGGGAGAAATGGAGAAGAGATATGCCTCTGCCAAAAGAAAATAACACCTCAAGAGAAGCCTAGGACAGAACCTAGAGGAACACCAATGGAAAGGACTGAACTCATGGGGGGAGGAAAAACACAGGGCAGGAAGGGTTCCAGAATATGCCTCAGCCTGGGATCCACAGAAAGCAGAAAGCAGAGACTAAGGCAAAAGCTCATGAGCCCTCCTTTAGTAGAGAGTGCAATCTGAGGAAAGGAGAACAAATATGAGGGTACATTACTTTGCCAGCCACCACTTAATTGCTCTATCTCGAAGGTGGTCTTCTGAGATGCTGTATGAATTACTGCGAACCAAACAATCCTCAGGCAGTAACAGACCATGGTGGGAAAGATGATGAAGAGGAAGAGGCAAGAATTTGTCCATGAACTCCTCTATCCCATCGACCAAAACTTCACTGCACAGAGTGGCAACTCTTCCACACTTTCAGATTCATGAAACCAGCATCTTGTGCCTAGAGGGCACAGGGAAGGCCCTGGGCTTGTGAAGTGGGTGTGAGGTAAGGCACAGGGGGTGTGTGTCCATGTGAAATTAGTCAAAACCCCCACAGAGTTGGACAACCACTGAGACAGCTAGACAGAAGAGGTGGTCAAGGGAGTCCAGGGCCTAGACACAGTTGAGACTAAGAGGACCTGAGGTGTCCCAATTAAGAGATGTATGGCAGAGAATCTAAGAGTGATTCCAGAAGGCAGTTGTGGTAAACAGTGTCAGATGTTGCAGAGGTAAAGTTAGACAATGACCAATAAGTACTTGTTGGATATGGGATGAAAGCAGATATCTGAGGGTCTTCAGCATAGCCATGTCATTGTAGTGACAGGATGAAGATGTCCTGGGATAAGGAGAGAGTGGGAGTGAAGAAGCAGAGGCAGTAAGTTTAGAACAACTCACTCAAACATTTGACTCGAAAGAAGAGAGACATGGAAGGGTGAGACTGAGAGAAGTCTTTGAGATGGTATCAATGAGCAGTTAAGTGTTGACAGGAGGGAGTCAGAGAGAGGGAGAATCTGAAGACGCAGAAGAGAAGGAATCATGGATAAACTTATGATCCTCAGAAGGCAGGACTGTAGGTTCCAGAGCACAAGTGGAGGAATTGGCGTTTGTTGGGGTGAAGGAGGTGCCTTTCCCTGTAAAAGGAGAGTAGGAAGAGAGAACTGTGCCGGCCCTAACAGATAGTTATCCTTGACAGCAGGAATTTGGGGAAATTCTTAGCTGATGAGAATCAAAACCATTTGCTAAGGCTGAGAAGGAGATAGAGGGGTTAGAGGCTTCAAGAGCATGGAGAATCTTTTAAACAGCTACTTTAACTGACCAGAGAAACATAGCACAATTAGACATTGTATTGAGAGTTTGGTGGGGGCAGTAACCACAAACTTACAGTGTCACTGATATGCACAGACTTGTAATCTTGTTCCTGTGTCTCCAGCAGTCCAGGCTTTCAGTAGTATCCATCCAGGGTTGATGGTTTTTGCCCAATACCTGAAACAGAAAATCAAGGGATCAACAGAACCTGAGATACCAGCAAGAGAATGGTAGATGTGATGGGCAGGACATTTGTGATGGGGACTGAAGGAAGTGAGAGCAAGAGGGAGCCGAAAGACAAGCTAAGCTTAATCAATATTAGTTCCAGTTTCCTGATCATAACTCTGAATGGAGTGCTGACTCCGTGTATGAGGGCATAGCTCACCTTTATTTTTTTCCTTTCCTTTCATCTAGCAAAGGACCTTGTTCATGGTAGGAGTTCAGTATATTCTCTCTAATGGGTATAACAATAAATCTATTTAAAAAATACTACCACTTTGAATTTTAAAACCCAGTAAATGATCAATTGAAATGAATGAGAACTGTACCCCTAGATTCATATGAAGTACTCATAAATAGTACTTAGAGATTTAGACACCTGCACTTGTTTTTCAGCAAATGTGATGATATATTCTATTTTCTAGGTTTGGCTGAGTTAAATTCAGATTTAATAAGGAAGATAAATTAGCCTCAGTATAGCATATGCCAGTGTAGTTTTTTTAATGTTTATTTTAAAGATGTGGGGTACAATTCAGGATTAGGTATACAAATGGTGATTGTACAGGTAAAATCTGGGCCTCACTTTGGTCTCACATCACCTGGTTTGAGATCAGATACCCTTATTAATGAAGTGTGCCCCTCCCCCACTCTCTCCCCTGTAATGAAGTGTGGCCCCTCCCTCACTCCCTCTCCTGCAGTTTCCCACTACTGCCAATACCTTTTTTTATAGTAATGTGATAATTATTCAGGGTCCGCTTATAGGTGAGAACTTGTGGTACTCAGTTCTTTGTTTCTGTGATAGATCACTGTGTATGACAGACTCTAAATCCATCCAAGTTACTGTGAAGTTCATAATTTTGTTCTTATGTATGGCTGCATAATATTCCATCATGTATATGTACCACATTTTTAATCCAGTCTACTTTTGACGGGCAGCATGGTTGGTTCCATGTTTTTGCTATTATGAAGAGTGCTGCAATAAACATGCGTGCACAGGTATCTTTTTTGTAGAATGATTTGAGTTCCTCCAGGTATATTCCCAGTAGAGGGATGGCTGGGTCTTATGGGAGGTTGACTTTTAGATCTTTTGAGAACCACCACACTGTTTTCCACAGAGGCTGTACTAGTTTACACTCCCACCAACAGTGTAAAAGTATCCCCTTTTCTCAGCATCCTCTCCAGCATCTGTTGTTTTTTGTTATTGATGATAGCCATCCTGACTGGAGTTAGGTGGTATCTCAATGTAGTTTTAATTTGCATTTCTTTTATGATTAGTGAGGCTAAGCATTTTTCATGTATCTGTTGGCCGCTCATATATCTTTTTTTGAGAAGCATCTATTCATATCTTTTGCCCACTTTTTAATAGGGCTGCTTGTTTTTTTTCTTTTCAGCTTGTTTGAGTTCCTTGTAGATCCTGGATGTTAGGCCTTTGTCAGATATACAGTTGGCAAATATTTTTTCTCAGTCTGTGGGCTGTCTCCCTGTTCTCTTGATGGTTTATTTGACTTTGCAGAAGCTAGTCAGTTTGAGGAGGTCCCACTTGTCTGTCTCATCTCTTACGGTATAGGCACTTGGAGTTTTGACCAGGAATTGGTTGCGAGTTCCAATTTCCATAAGGTGTCTCCTGCACTAAGGTTCACCAGTGTAATTTTTAAAAAACTATATAGTTGTCTTATTTTCTTAGGTTATAGTACAATAAGCATAATTATTTATACATTTTACATTAACATCGTAGATTATATAAATTATATCATAAAATATGTCCTAAATTGTTTAAAATTAGATAAATGTTCTCAAGGCATGAAACTCAAATTAACTTATTTTTTCACCAAATGCTATTTTCCTCTTAGGAACTGGGAATCGAATGTCATTTTGTGCAAGAAATCACAACCTGGTATGGATGTGAGCCAGATGTCCTTTAACCCCATGAACTGGCGCCAGCTGTGCTTATCAAGCCCAAGTACAGTGAGCGTATGGACCATTGAAAGAAGTAACCAGGAGCATTATTTCAAAGCCAAGTAGGAGGCTTTGTTACTACACAAAATGTGGTGGTTCTTGTATTCATGTGATGTGATTGGGTCAATTTGAAGAATGAAGTGGCTTTATACATACATATATAAAGCTTCCCTCAGTCCCCACCAGCCACACATCACCTGCCTGATTCCTGCCAACATTCTAATTTACAACTTTTGCTTTAGATATTAACTTTGAAGATTTTTGATAATCCCAATGTACTTCATTTAAAACTGTGCTTAACTTGTCCTTTCATAATATATATTTTTAAATCTATCCTTTGGTTTTTATCTCCTTTTTTTTTTAAAGTTATACACACACATACAGACATGCAGCTTATCTTGTTATAACATCTTTCTATATATATAATTACCTTGGAGTGCTTTGCATTTTAAAAGGAATTTTTATTACTAGATTTTCCAGTGAGTTTTTAAAAATATCAAGTTCTCACAGCTTTTTCCATCATGGCTTAGTTTTGCAAAACTTGATTTGCTCTTACTATTTAAAAACATGCTTATTGTTTAGAAAGAACAGTTATGACTTTTTGTAATTACTTTGATGCCTTACTGGAATCTCAAAAATAAGGAACTATTAGATATGAAATGTGTACGGATTATGCATTCAGTCACATTATCCACAATCAAAAGAGTAGTTGCAAATAGTGGAGCCATGGGAGTTACCTGTTTTTTGTTTGGCTTTGGGTTTTTTTGGGAGGAGCTTCCTGTTTAAATAGAAGTTAGTCAAAGAGAAATTCTGTGACAAATGCTCCAGTGATAATGAGTGCCTTTGTGGATAAAGTGTTCAAAGACTCAAGGTGCCACTGAGCTGACCATTTTTAGCATAATCCATGAAGTCAAAGATCAAGAGATGTTGAGCAGGCATACCTTTGAAATTACAATTTTTGAAAAATCACCTTAAGAGAAGTGTAAAGCTAGTAAATAAAATTTTCAAAATGGAGAGCCCTAAGAGAAGTACTTCTTTGTGCTCACTATTCTTTATATCTCAATTTCATTTTTCACAAGGATCGGCTGAATAGTCAAATTTGTCTCTAGTCAGAGTTGACAACACTGTACCTTCTAATAAAGTGAATGATATCTCTATCAGATCCTTGTCAGGTCAGGCAAGTAACTTATCACAACATTCTCTTTATTCGCTTCTCTCGAACATTCTGCTCTAGTTCTGAATGTCAAGTTGTGGCTTTTCTATAAGCAGATAAAGTAGGAGACAAAATGAGTGGATTGTCCTGGTTTCTAAAGCAAGTAGAATTTGAAAACACTTAAGCTTTACATTTGATTAATAGATACTATTTTTATGTGATTATTTTTCAAAATTATTTATCATTCATAAAACATAACCAAGGAAGTTTTGAATTTAATGCCTGAGGCCATGGATTCTTCAAACTAACCTTTATAACCATATTATGGGTTAAAAGTAGGTATGTGATAAATGTGAACATGAATTCTTGCTATCAGAGGTTTCAAATGTAGCTAGCATGCATATATGTTTATTTTGGCCTATGGTGTTTTTTGTATGAATTAGTTGTCAACATTTAAACTTTGAGAGATCTCTCATAAATATCCAGATTAGTAAAATTTGAGAGATTTCTCATAAACATTCAGATTATGAAATTTTGGAACCCAAATTCTCACATATCAACAACTTTCTTGGCTGGAACTGAGTGGTACTTGGCACCTCGGTGAGGGACAAACACTTTCCCACTTGCCACAGTACCCACCAGTCACACATCACATTCCTGATCCACATCAGCATTCAAATTTACAAATTTGGAGACTTCTGAAGGTCCCTTTGTACTTACTTTAAAACTGTGCATAACTTATTCTTTCATAATATATATTTTAAAATCTATCATTTAGCTTAACATTCTTATTTTTTTATATAAGTAGTTATAATACTTCCCTACCTTGCTTACCACCAATATGCAATAGTTGCATCAATGTTCAGTTTCTGTTCATCTCATTGTTCTGATGTCTCTTTTGCCTACAGGTCAGTAAAACTACCTCTAGAAGATGGCTCATTTTTAAATGAAACAGATGTAATTTTCCCCCAGTCGTTGCCCAAAGATCCCATCTATGGTCCCGTGCTACCATTTTCAGCCATTGCCGGGCTAGTGGGTGAAGAGGCAGAAACTTTCAGGGTAATTACCTGGTAGCTCTTCCTATTTGCCTAATAGGTTGCATTCAGGAAGCATGATCTCACTTGATTGTAAGAGTTTAGAGAGGATCATCTCACTTGATTGTAAGAGGTTAGAGAGAGCCAGGCTCAGTGGCTCAGCCTGTAATCCCCCGCCTTTGGGAGGCTGAGGTGAGTGGAATTGCCTGAGCCCACGGGTTTGAGACCTCATCTCTACAATAAATCAGAGGCGGAAGGATCGCCCAGCAGGTCGAGGATGCGGTGGCCGTGAGCGGGCACTGCACTCCAGTCTGGGCGACAGAGCGGGACTCCAACTCAAAAAAAAAGAAGAGGTTAGACAGGATCATCCTGGTTTTTAATACAGATTAGCCATGGAAACTGCAAGAGATGAAGACTCTGTAGTTTTGAGTTAGACAGGGAAGATGATGACACTGCTAACAAAAGCAAGGATCCCAGATGTGATTTCAATTTGGACATACTGAATTTGGGATTCAGTTGGAGATGCTGGGTGGGAGTCAGCAAAGTGGGCTAGTGTTAGGGAGCCGGAGGTGGGACTGGAGACACAGAAGTTAGCATCATAGAACAGTGGGAGAACTGAGAGGGCGTGAACAAAAAGAGAAAGAGGGTACAAGGGAAGAGAAGAGAGTGAGAGCAAGCTTCCTGTCAATCAACAGGGGAAGACAGAGGAGTCTGAGAAGGCACAGTCACAGAAGTAGGAGTAAACCCAGGAGATAGGAACAAGGTCTTAGAAAATCTTATAGGCCCTTTATGGAAGAAAATTTAAGAGGGAGAGTTTGTCAAATGTTGCACACTCATTCACTCATTTATTTAACAAATATTTATCAAGCTCCTCCTATGTAGCAGACACTGTTTTAGCCAATGGAATCAATTATATGGTGACCAAGCACGCATAATCCTCATGGAGCTTATATTCTTGTCAGGGAGACAGAAACAACAACAAAAGTAAAGATACATTAAATCATTGCAAAATATGATGATTATTATAACAATAAATGAGGATGGAGTGGCAAGGAAAGGATTAACATATGTTGGTCAAGGAAGGCCTTTGGTGATGACACCCAGGCTGAGATTTGAAGAATAAGGAGGTATTATTCATATTGCAAGAATGGTAAGAGTGTTTCTGGTGGAAAGTTGCGTGTGCAAAGGCCCTAGGACAAGAAGCGAACTCAGAATGTGTGAGGAACTGAGAAAAGGCCTGTATGACTGGAGAATGATAAATTAAGGGGAAGTGAGGTGTGGGGTGATGTTCGAGAGAGAGACAGAGAACAGAAAGTAGCACAAGTAAGTAAGGCCTTTGGGATGAAGGTAAGGAGCTTCACTCCTCTGACTCTCTTAAACACTTATTCTGCTAATGTTTATATTAAGCACAGGATAGAGAATGTGGAGTTTCCCAGATATTTTTGACCACTGCAGTGAATTAAGCTATGAATATTAAAAATAATTCAGTGTGAGAATTAGTTTATTTAAAAAAAAACTTTGTGGTAGCAAGAAGAAAAGTTACATGCCCTTAGTATTTCCTCTAGTGAATGACAATGATTCGCTTTTTAAGTTATGAAAAATGATTACAGTGAGTCATCTGTATTCATAGGTTCCATATCTATGGTTTCAACCAACTGCAGATCAAAAATACTAGGGAAACAAAATGATGGTTGTATCTGTATCAAATATGTACAGACTTTTATTTCTTGTCATTATTCCCTAAACAATACAGTATAACAACTACTAACATAACATTTATATTTTATTAGGTATTATAAGAAATCTAGAGATGATTTGAAGTATACAGGAGAATGTGCATAGGTCATATGCAAATATGATATCATTTTATATAAGGAACTTGAGCAAGCATAGATTTTGGGGGTCCTGGAACAAATCCCCCGTAGATATTGAGGAAATGACTGTCATTTCTTTTATAGCATTGGTCTTTGCCTTGGAAATATAACCACGTTCAGCTGCAGAGGGGCAGCAAAGTAAAAAACAGAGATCTGCCATCAAGGTTTACATCTTACAAGAATGTTTCTATATTTAGTATTTGGTGCCAAGAACCCCCAAATTTCAATGATCTCAGATTGTTTTTTCGCAGCAGTAAATTTCTACAGAAGCTCTCATCTTTGATAGTCTGCGCCAACGTGACATACCCTATATAAACATTTCGAATATAGACAATTGTCCTTGTTATTTGAAAAATGCTGTAAAATGCCTTCTTTAAATACTTACTCATGGAGTTACCACTTTTTAAAATGCTTGTATTAGATAGGCATCTTTATTTCCTAGGACTTTTGCACTCAGTGCATTTTAACCTTTTTTTGAAAGCAGAAATTTAATGTTAAAGTTTGACATCTCTAAATCATACAGGGAATATTAATAATGCCATACACTTTGTATTTAAGTTAGAAATTCGTTTTCCCAGTAGTTTACTTTTTCATTTTATAGTTAAATAAGGTGAGGAAAATGACTAAAACATTGAGTAATGCCTGTACAATGAATGAAAGCATAAGTAAAAATAGATCTCATGTCTTGATTCCATTTTTTTTTTTTGAATGTTATTTATTGTGACCTGGGTACCACAACAAAGAACTCAATAATGATTTCACCTCTGAAGAGTATTAAAAATTGACAAACTGTGGACTTTTTAAAAAGTACAGAAATTAGTCTCATTGTTTTTCTTACACTAGAAGCGACTTTTCTAATGCTGGAAGAGGCATTACAGACCTTTAAATAGTCCTGAGTCATATTATGTATCTTATTTAGGATATTAGAAACATATCCAGTTTTAAATTGTAGCATGAGAGAAATTAAAGGCAGATGTTATCTGGGAAGAAACTGGATCTAAGGAAATAAATTTAATCTCAAGTGTCCAGTTTCCTTTTTTCATCTATCTTTATAATTTTTACACAGAAGTTGCTAAATAGAAATCTCTTTCATAAATTCTAATATTTTGAAACATATCTGAATTTTTACATTTTAAAACATCAGTATTAAGTTGAACTTCAAATTTTCAAGTTTGGTCTTCAAGTGAGCAAATGTTTGATTTATGATTCTGGAGAACTAAAAAAGAAAAATGGTGTTATTGACCAATGTTTTTAAACACTCCTAGCATTGTATTTTTTAAAAACTTCTCAGAATTTTCAGGACTAAAAATAATTATTTCTGATCACATAATCCATATACTATTATATTCATTTTTAAACGGCAGTGAACACATTTATTGATGAAAGAAAGTAATAAGAAAACGAGCCCAGGTTTATCTTAAGGAAAGAAAAGCCATATACAATATAGTCACCATACCAAGGCCAGAAAATTCCAAGTTGTAATCCTCACATTCTGTTTCATACTCACAGTTTTATTGGTATTGTAAACATGAGATGCATGGTGTTTTTCGTTTGTTTTTAAGATTCTGAGCCTATTGTCATTCCAGATAAGAGTCTTTTGAAATTTATAGACTAAGATTAGACTTAGTCTATAAGTCATCAGGGCAACTCAAAAAACTTTTAAATAATGGTGATTCAGTAAATAACTCTTTTTCTTATGAGTTAAATCTCAGTCAGATACAATAGAAAAGTTGTATATCAGCAACAGCTTAATTCTTTTGGGTGGTTTTGCTTTTTTCTTGGTCTACTAGGTGAACAGATTTTTACTCAAGTATTTATTTTGTACCTATCTATGACTATGAAGGCATGAAATAGACCAACCATAGAATTAAATTCAATCTATCCTTTAAAAATTACAGTGGTGAATACTCATATGTATGATGGTTACCGCAGTCATATTTCAAAGTCCATCTCAAAAGGGAATTCCTTTCTTTCTCCACTTTCCTCACTCCACAAAGAACCCATTTGCTTTCTCATTGAGGCTCCTATAATATTTAAACGCTCTCCTACTACAACCTACCATGCTTTCTGATTCTTCTATTTTTTTGATACTACTACTTTCCTCAAGAAGTGATTATCCTATTGAGAAGAGGGATCCCTTAGACTTAGCACAATTGCTGGTATATAAGCAACACCCAATAAATATTTATTGAAATATCAGTTATGCAAAAATATTGTATTAGTTGAGAATCTAGTAGTAATAGTTACTTGGGCAGTGCCACATTTGCCACTACCTTCAAGCTACAAACCTTGCATAAATTAAAAGAGCAATATATAATATATTATTCAAATAATGTGTATTTATTAGAAAGATGCTTTACATACATCAGGAAGTTTTGAATAGAAAAATGACTGTTAATATAAGCTCACAGTATCCTCCAACTTACTCTGATTTATTTTTTACAGCACTTTTCAACACACACACATATATACACACATATACAATATATAAGACAATATATAAATATATATTGTTATACAATGTACACAATATTTAACATTCTATATTTTTAATTTCTTAACTTATTTTTACTCTCTGTTTCCCCTCATCAGGATGTAAGCTCCACGAAGGCAGGGATTTCTTTGTCTATTTTGTTCTCTGCTACATCCCTATGTCTAGAACAGTACCTAGAGTATAATATAGTAAGTGCCCAATAAATGTTTGCTAGATGAATGAGTACTTGTGTGAAAGAATGAAATAAACATGTAGCTCTTCAGGAATTTTAGAATTTTGTTAATTTGGCCAAAAGCTTACTAAAAATGTTTTCTGTGTCTATGAATATAAGAGTGCCTAAACAAAACAGAGACATTATGTTGTATCAAATGCAATTCTAAATAATAGTGTAGCATAACAAAATGCTCAGATAGTACTAAATACTACATTCTGAATAAATAAAAGTAAGTTGGTATGTTTGACTTATTCAAATAGACAGGAAGGAATACTGCATTAGGGTATCCTCAATTCAATAACCTAATCAGCACTGTGCCCAAAATAGCTGCTGAAGCTACCCTGACCTTCAGGAAGGAGAGCAAGTGATACTCAACTTACAAAGTAGCCTGCTTTGTGCTGACAGAAAAAGGGAGCAGCCTCTCCCTGCTGGACACTAGTATTTAAAGCTGCAAGGGGGCACAGTGCTAAAGTATTGTCAACAGAGATTAAGGCAGAGATTGACAAACTATGGCCTGCTCTTTATGGACCAAGTGTAAGAATGGTTTTTACAATTTTTATGGGTTGTAAAGAAAAAAAAGGGTATGTGACATAGACCTATATGGTCCACAAACCAAAAATATTCACATATTCACTATGTGGTCCCTTACAGAAAAAAATTTGCCCTAGGCCCTTGGTTCATATTGTTTTTAGTCTCCAAAGTCAGTTTTTTCTCTAGGTATATCCCAACGATTTTGTGCATCTTTCTTTTCATGGAATCAAAGTCATGTAGGATGTTTCATGAGCCAAATTAGAAAGTCAGTAAGATCAGGCAAAGGGTCTTCTTCTCTGTGAAAACTAACTAAGCATAAGATTCAGGCTGATTTCTCCGTAGCTCAAGCATATTTGTGCCCTCTACAGAATAAGGAGAGAAAAATGTTGATGAAAGCCTTCTCCAAAAAGGCTGATTATAGTTGGACAATAACTTTTTTAGATTTAAATACCAACAAAAGTCCAATAAGAAACAGTTTAGACAGTTGTTACTCAAAAAACTTTGTCATGAGAATCTATGGCAATAGGAGAACTGAATGTGTTGGCAAGGAAACACGTTATTTTTTCTTAGTGAATTAAAATATAGGGAGAGAAATGGACAGAGGAAGAAGTTCAGTTAGCTCATAGCAAATGTCAAGACCAGTGAGTTTATTTCTGACTATATTCACTGATTTCTTTTGGCAACTGTTCTGATGGGCATTTCTAGGGCTCTTATGCATGATTGTTGTCTTAACACAAGGTTTTTATTCTTTTTCTGCAGCCGAAAGATGATCTATACCCTTTGCTTCATCCAACTATGCATTGCTGGACTCCAACAAGTGACCTGTATGTTGGCTGTGAAGAGGGCCATCTTTTAATGATTAATGGAGACACCTTGAAGGTGACTGTGCTTAATAAGATAGAAGAGGCACCACCATTGGGTGAGAAACTTCTCTGCTTTGTATTCTTAGAAGTGTAGCCATGGATGTTGGTTTTGTTTTCCCTTTCTTAGAGACATCTTTGATCTCTTCTTCTTTATTCTTTAGCTAATTATCAAATTCTATGAATGCTCCTTACAGCTAACTAATCTTTACTGATGTTACTATGTTCCTGGCATTCTGCCATCACTTTATGTGAATATTTCATGTAATCCTCAAAACAACATTATACATAATACAGGTGTTAGAAACATGCCCAAATTCACATAAACTACGGAGCTGACACCTGAATCCAGGCAATACACCACAGAGTCCAAATTCTTAGCCACTATGCTCTTTATATTTTTCTATACATATACCCAATTTGCTGAGTCAGCTGATCATACCCTTTCCTACTCCCTTCCCCTCAATATCTTTCTCCATGTTGACCATCTCTTATAATCCCAAAAGCTGTCTTGGAAATTATCTTTGTGTTGCTTGATTATAATTTTAAAGAAAACCTAGTCTACTCTCCCTTAGCTCTAGTATGTATTTCTGGTCTTGTCAGCTGTGGCCAGGGTTGGACCTGGGTCATAGAAGCCAAAGTTCACCCACTAAAAGTTAGATGTAGACCCTGTGAGGAGAAGGCCTCATCGGGTCAAGCTCCCTAAACCTGTCCAATTCACTCCTCATTCAAATTTCTCTGACTATGCTACACCATGATTTGTATAATATCCGTAGGACTGACCTCATTGACCTTAATCTACATCTGACCCAAACCAGGCAGCTCATCTCTGCCAAACTGCCCTTTTTGAAGATGACTTTGAATGTACAATTTAAGAACTGTTCTACATTGATTTCAAGCTCTCCTTTATCTGACCCTAACGGCTCCATTAGTATTATTTTCTATCACACCCCAGTATGAGTTTTTTGATCTAGCCAGTCATTTCTTCCCATTATTTTACAGACATGCCTTGTAGCTCATTCCCTTGTCACTTGTCTCCTCTGAATCTTCCAGTCTCCAGCTCAAATACCACCCCTTCTGGCAAGTTTTCCACAATTGCAGTGTACCTCATCTACTCTCTTTCCCATTCCCTGGCTCACTTCACTGGCAAAACTAAAGCCATCAGGTTTGACTTTCCTGCCCCATCCCCTCTCCCTCTTCCCTTTACTCTTGCTGTACTTTCCAGGTTCCTCTCTCTAATCTAGCATCCCAGTAGCTCTCTAAAAGGTAAGCTTCTTTCTGGTCTTTCAGTTTCAGCTCCCCCTACAAGAGTCTCAAAATTTCTCACCATGCCTATGCTGTCTCCAAATTCTGTCAACTGGCATTTTTAATTGCCTTTGTTTGGGACTCCCTTCTTTTATCTACTTGATGAAATTATCCTCCTTTTTGGAACCTTCCCTACCCTCGCCCTAAATATTAGGTACCCCTGACTGGGATTCTGTCATACTTTTTTGTTAGAGCCTTAACCTGTACTATCCTAATCGCCCATGTGCATAGCTATCTTTGCCAATAGTCATGAACTCTTTGAAGTCAGGAACTGTGTCTAGTACATTCTTTGTCTCCAAAGTCTAATTCTAGATATTGTGACAAAGCAAATTGGCCCTATGAGGGGGAACCCCCAAAAATCTGGAATTTATTTATAAAAAATTGTGTATTTATCTTACATATTTAAATTTCAGTCACCTTCAAAATTCTCTCTGTTTGATGCAATACACCTATCAAGATGCTTTTTCCACTGCTCAAAACCAATTTAAACTAATCAATTTTGATGCCTTTTAGTGCTTCTGCCATTTTTCATTTCACCTCTTCAACATCAACAACACATTTTCCTTTGGGAACTTTTTTCATCTGGGGAAACAAAAAACAGTCACTCGGGTGAGACTGGATGAATAAGAAAAATGAGGCATGGGAGTCATGCTATTTTTGGTCAAAAACTGCTGAACATTCAGCATGGTGTGAGTAGGTTGTTTGTGTCGATCACCCATCATGAAATGGACAAATGCATTAAAAGAATCTCAACAACAACAACAAAAAAATCACTGAAGCCGAACACAATTTCTCACAACAGTGCTAGCTGGTACACTGGTGCCAATGGGTTCCTAGAACACTTACCTAGCCGGGGAAGTCTGTACTACAAGGGATCTCCCCTCCAAAAGATAATTCCAGTTTTTTAGGGGGAGAGGGCGGGTTCCCCTTGTATTCATTTTTGAAAAATTAATTATAAAACAATCTCATTTCCAAAATACTATCATATTTTTAATATATTTTACACAATTTAGGACTTAATCATATGTCATCTATATTGTTCACTATTTCCTTCCTGCATACTGTTTTCTATTATTGTCATGGTATATCAAAAATGCTTTCAAATAAATGTTTATCAAGTCTCTGCAATGTAGAAAACACTAAGCAAGGTGCCTTAGAGGCTACATAGTGACAAATAGTCTCATAATTCCCATTCTCAGGAGATTAGATTTCATTAGAGAGGATGAGAAAAGTAGACAAATAACTACAGCCAGGTAGATTAAGATGATTTTTATTAAGAAAAAGCTTCACAAAGTGCTATGGGGATTTAGATGAAGGAAACAGTCCAAGATAAGTCATTTTGAAAGTGGCACTTGAATTGGGCCTTGAAGGATGGGTTCACAGGCAGAGATGTGAGTAGGTGGATTTTTTTTTTTTTTGAGTCGGGGTCTCTCTGTCACCCAGACTGGAGTTCAGTGGCATGATCATGGCTCACTGAAACCTCAGCCTTGTGGGCTTAAGTGATCCTTCCACCACAGCATCCCTAGTAGCTGGGATTACAGGCGCATGCCACCATGCCTGGCTAATTTTTTGATTATCTGTAAAGACAAGGTCTCACTATGTTGCCGAAGCTGATCTTGATCCCCCTGGGCTCAAGCAATCCTCTTGCCTCAGCCTGCCAAAGTGCTGAGATCACAGGTGTGAGCCATTGCATCCAACCAGGTAGGTGTGATTTTTGGCAATGGTTTTTGTATGGACAAGAAAGCATGGGGAATATTGAAAAACAATAAGTGGTCCAATTTGTCTGAACCCTCAAGTGTTACAAAAAGTAGTAGAAGGCACCTATACTATATCTGGCCTTTCGTTTGCAGCTGAGGTGTTTGTACTTAATCCAGCGGACATAAAACCTCCTGAATGGGGATAGCCCAATTAGACTTGTGCATGGATAGATTCAGCCGCAGTTCAAGAAAGAAAGATCCTAGAAGTAGGTGACTCTCAGAAGCAGGCACCCGGACTAGGCCGGGAGTCATAAGGACTTGGACTCTAGTGATACTTGGATCAGAAAAAAAGGAAGTGAATAGTGTTCAAAGGAAAGGATAGTGTGCTTCTTAGCATCTAGCAGAATGTCAGGCACATAGAATGCAATAAACAAATAGTTTGAAACAAACAATTTAATGGATGCCACCAAGTGTTTGATTTTGTGATTCTTGTGGTTTATCTATATAAAAAGGTAATTATTTTTGTTATTTTCCCCCAAGGATATTTTATTAATAGCAAATGTTCTTATGGAATTAGTTTTTCTTTTCACTTCCTTTTTGTTCACTATAATTTATTTATTGAGGTATAAATTTATATAGCATAAAATTCACATATCTTAAGTATAAAGCTTGATAATATATACTTGGTTTATTGTTTTGTTTTTTTTTTCCTGGCATCTTAAAACCTCTGACAGTACTTTCCTAAAAAAATTAATTTGCTACATAATTCTATTTTAGTTACATAGATTTGATGATACAGAACTTAAAACAACTCGTATGATTTACATCAACTGTCATTACTAAGCATCTTTTATTATTCATTGTTATATTGTACTTTTAATTATGTGTCACCTACTTTACCTTGTTTTTCTTTTCCAAAAGGAGAAAAAACTCTTATCAGTCCAGTCACCTTGGTATATCAGAAGGATGGAGTGCTTGCTTCTGGAATTGTAATATATTTCAAAATTAATTGCTTTCTAGAAAATATACAATTTTAATTTGCTGCCCTTTACTATTATTAGCAATATTTGAGGATATCAGGTCTTTTGGATTATTAATTAAAATTATTTCCTCTTTAGATGCTGTTATAAATTATTTATTATAAAGAATTTTAAACATATACAAAAGGGAAGGAAAAGCATAATGAACTACCATATACCTACCTTATTGCCAACAAACAAAATCAGAATTTAGAAATCCACTGCCCTCCCCCAATGAAAAAACATCTAATATCTGTAACCAGATTCTTATTGTATTAGGTTGTCAGGTATGAATTTGGAACCTTTTGTCTGAGCTTCAACTTAGACCTTTGTGAGTGCCATTTAGCTTACATGTATTATTTTGTTATATTAGAATTCTATTTGTATATCTTATTGGTCCTCATAACAACTTTACCAAATAGAAACTGTTGACATCTTCCATATACCAACAAGAAATCAAGTTGTATGTTTACTCACCAGTAAGTAGGTGGAAGAACTAGGGCTTGAGCCCAGATGTGTCAAACTCCAAAGTGTCTGCTCTCGTTTAATAGAACACACAGTTTCAGTAAGTATGAAAAGGGGTTAGACCATGTTTTTCTATTCTGTTACAATCAATGTAATCAAAGTTAAGGATGGGAACTGACCTATACTAACAACTCAGGTTAGTAGCTATCCTGAGTGCACTGTTAGCTTTGTTGGTTGTATTTGTCACATCTCCAGGACACTGAGGGCAGATAGGCAGTGATGTCAGGGTGAAAGATGTAATTCTACCCATGAGAAACTATTTGGAGCTCATATACCTACACTCAGCTTGCAATTCCTTTCCCCAGCCTTGCAGTGGATTACCGCCTCTTCCCTCCTACATTTAGTCTGCATTTGTGCCCTTTTATGACTCTTGTCCTCCTCAAGACTTCCCTTGATGGTTATTTCACCTGCTTTAAAGGAATGATTGTACCATTTGCTCTGATGAGGGATGGAGAATGATAATGGACTTGGAGAAACCACCTTGCAAGTTTTTCCCTCCATGCTCTAAGCATCTGAACCCAATCATCTCATAAATGCCTACTCTTAGTTATAATGAGGAATCTAGAAAATGGTGGATAAATTTGCCCAAAGTCTCTTCACTTTGTAAAAATAACTCAAATTCTTCTTAAGTGTAGTTAAGTTAACCTAAATCTATTCATAACAAACCAATCAACCAACCCATTTTTATTGGATGCCTGCTATGTCCTCACTGTGTGAGGAACTCGAAAAGTGGTTACAAAGGGCACACTCTCTACCATTGTGTCATTTAGGGAGATAAGAAATGCACATAATAATGATTAAAGGATATACATTAGAGCTAACGTCCTTTGAAGGAAGGAGACTGCTATGCAACAAGCCAGACAAACAGCCTCGTTTGCCCCACTTTCTATATAGTGAAGAATGTTATGAGAAGAGAGATGCTAGGGAAACTTTAAGAAGGGAAAGATCAGTAAAATTTTAGGTGATTTTAAAACGTGTCTTGAAAAAGATAAAATTGAAGCTTTAAAAATTTTTTTTACAAATTGAAGCTTGACCAAGGAACATGGTTAAAAGTTGCCAAAACAAAGATGAAAGTGCATTCTAGATAATGTAAACATAGAAGATGATTCCAAATAAATAAGTCAATAAGACCTAGCTTGTCTGATGAAGAAAGTGCATTGACTGAGACTGATTTTCTGCATTGTTTTTGGTCTCTAGGATGGCTTTGTGTATTCTGTTATTATTAAAGATGCAAATTACAAAGTTGAGACTTTTCTTGAGATTGAAAGTCCTGTGGAACATTTGAAGTTTTCTCCCAGTTACAAAATGTTGCTGATTCAAACAGACAAGGTATGTTGAATGATGATTTTTTTAATATGAAATTTTCAGATATTATTATTATCATTGTGAGACAGGAAGGAAGGGCAGCATGTACTGCATAGTGATACTCTATTAATCAAGACTCTTTAGGTTGCAAATAAAAAAATACTCCATTTTAAAATTCCTAAACAATAGAGAGATATTTATTTGTTTTTGTGTATGTAACTGAAAAGACAAGACTGAATCTGAATCCAGGAGCTCCCATGATGCCACTGGTCCTTGTTTTCCTGCATCTCTTGGCTCTGTTTCCTCTCTACTGTCTCCATTTCCATGCATACTCTCCCTTTATGCTGTTAGAAGAGCCTCCTGCTCCTCCAATATATATTTCTGACCTTTTGATGGAAAGATAACAGCTGGAAAAAATGTCTTTGAATATAAACATTGGACTGACTTGGATCAACTGTCTATCCCTGGGCCAATCACTATGGCCAGTGGAATTCTAAACTCTTATTGACCAGGCCTAAGTCAAATACCTACTTTTGGATGCTGGGTGGAGGCACCCACTAAAATGTGAACTGAGACTGGGGCTATGAGTTGTACTCTAAGGAAAATATGGGTTATGTAAGTAAAGAAAGAAGGAGGATCTTGCAATGGCAAGATAAAAATTACTTCAATAATAATGTTAGAAAGACCCCTAATGAAGTGACCCTTAAAGGTCAAGATTATCAGATGTTTATATTGTTAGGGAATAATTTTAGATGAATTGTAAAGTTTAATTATTTTCTGCCTAAAATAAGCTTAAATTTAAATATAGAAGTACTTCAGTTTCTGGTAATTACAAGAAGTTAAAAAAAACATGCTATGTTTTAATAAATAAATGACAGACTTAAAATATCTATGGAAAACAGAAAACTATAAAAAAAGATATGATAACAGAAGAGGGAAAGACTCAATAGAACTTCTAAAAAGAAAAACATACTAACAAAGTAAAAATTAAATGAACGTGCCTGACAAAAGATTGGATACAGCCGAAGAGAAAATTAATCAGCTGGAAAATAGATAAGAAATTATCCAGAATGTAGTCTAGAAAAGTAAAAGGGTAGGAAATACAGAAGGGAGGGTAAGAGACATGAATAATGCAATGAAAAAAATCTAACATATGTTTGATTGGGCTTCAGAGAGGAGAAAGTGTGGCAGAGGCAACAACATTTATTTTATTTTTTTTAATAGCTTAATTCTTTATTTTGATTTGTCTGTTTTTATCTATCAAAATACAAACAGTGCTTAATTTTAGAATGTCAGAACACTTTTATTTAAAGTTGTTCATTTTAACTTTTTAGTGAACAAAAATTACATGTATTTATGGTGTACAACATGATGTTTTAATATATTATATATTGTGAAATGGTTAAATCAAGCTAATTAATGTTTGCATTACCTTACATACTTTTTTGTGGTGAGAACATTTAAAATCTATTCTCTCAGCAATTTTCAAGTATACAATACATTGTTATTAACTATGGTCACCATGTTGTACCAATATATTTTCTAAATAACTGAAATGTTATTAAATGTTTAACCAATGTCTTCACAATTCCCCCTCTTTCCCAGTCCCTGGTAATCACCATTCTTGTTTTCACTTTTATGAATTTAACTTTTTTAGATACCACAAATAAGTGAGATCATGCACTATCTGTCTTTTTATGTAGAGGCAACATTTAAAGAACTGGTTAAAAACATGAATTTACTGATTCAAGAGGTCCAGTCAATCCCAAACAGGGTACATAAAATGATATACATACTTAGACTTGCCAAAGTGAAATCGTTGAAAACTGAAAGCAAAGAGAAAAATTTTAAAGCAGTCAGAGAAGGACAGATCACGTCAAAGGGCCAAAACCAGCCTGCTGCTTGTTTTTGATAGATAAGGTTTTATTGGAACACAGTCACACCCACTTATTTATGTATTATCTATGGCTGCTTTCACACCACAACGACAATGTTAAGTAGTTGTGACTACAGCGTCAAGTAGTAATGACCAAATGGCCTGCAAAGCCTAACATATTTACTATTAGTCCTCTTATAGAAAAAGTTTGCTGACTCCTGATGTAGTGAAATAAAACAATTACCACATGGAATTCTATACTCAATAAAAGCATCTTCTCAGTATGGGGATGAAAAATATATTTTAGACACTTCAAAGCTAAAAGTTTGTCAGCAACTGATTATCACTTTACTTCGGGCAGAAGGAAAATGATTTCAGGTAGAAGGTTTGTGATGCAAGAAGAATGAAGAGTAGTAGTAATGTGTGGAGAAATGTAAATAAACATTGAATGTCTAAAACAAGCAAAAATAATGTGAAATTAGGTTTGAAAATAACATTGAATTAAAATCATAAATAAAAATAATGTAAGTAAGAGGGAGTATATAGAATAAAGTGTTTTAAGGTTCTTACATTACCCAGGAAGAGAATAAAGGCTTTATGTAACTTTTGATATTGATAAATTAGGTGTTGTAACTTCTAAGGTAACCACTAAAAGAAAAGAAACAGTAGATAAAATTTCTAAACTATAGTAGGGAAATGTAAAATGTTAAAAAAAATTAACCCAATACAAGATTTACAAAAGAGAGAAAAAGAAATGCAAAACAAGTAAGATAAATGGAAAGCATAAATTAAACTGTTATGTTTAAAATCAAATATATTAGTAATTACAGTAAAAGTAAAACAGAATAAATGATCTAGTCTGCAGGCAAAGATGGCCTTACGTAACTTAAGAAAAGAAATGCAGCATGCCTGTAGTTCTGGCTACTTGGAAGACTTGAGGCGGAAGGATCACCTAAGCCCAGCAGGTCGAGGCTGTGGTGGCTAGGAGCATGACACTGTACTGCAGCCTGGGCGACACAGTGAGACTCCAACACAAAAAAAAAAAAAAAAAAGAAAAAGAAAAGCAAAACCCAACTACGTACTGCAAGTGACACATCTAAAACATAAAGTATGGTAGATTAAAAGTAAAAGGATAAATATAGACATATCATGCAAACGTTAACCAAAAGAAAGCCCTTGGAAATATATTAATATTAGACAAAATAGACTTCAAGGTAAAAAAAATTCTAAAGATAAATGGGGGTTTATTTCAGAATAATAAAATATTAAATTCACCAAGAATATACAAATATTGAAAAAATATATATCAAATAACATATCCTCAAATATATAAAACAAAACATGAGAGAATACAAAGAGAAACAGAGCTGTGGGGAATATTAATACATTTTTCTCAGTACATGATAGAATAAATAACGCGTTCCCAAAGTGAGCAAAGTGACCCAAATGAGCAAAGCATTTTCTCTCCTATTCAGAGTCCTCTAGTGACTTCCTATGTCATTCAAAATCCTTAATATGTTTTAAAAGGCACTTCATAATGTAGCCTCCAATCTTCATCCCTTGCCTTATCTCCCACCACTCTTGACTCTTAATCACTCTGCTCCAGCTGCACTGGCCATCATACTGTTATTTTGAACAAGCTAGGCACGTTCCTCTATCAGAGTCTTTGTGCTGGCTGTTTTCTCTGTCTGGAATGCCCTTCCCACAGAATCCATATGGATCCTTTCCTCATTTTCTTGAAATCTTTTTTCTAAAGTGACTTTCTCACTGTAGCCTTTCTTGAATACTTGATTTAAAATGTCACCCCCTTCTTTTGCAATGTGATATTCTCCTTTCCTGCTTTATTTTCTTTTTCATTTTACAGTTATTGCTATTCAACTTATAATATATTTTATATGGTTATATTATTTATTGTCTGAATTCCCCAGTAGAATGTAAGTTCTATGAGGGCAGGGAATGTTTTTCTGTCTTGTACTTTGTTGTAGCCCCAGTATCCAGAGTATTGACTGGTGCAGTGTATACACCCAATATTTGTTGAAGAAATAAATGAAAGGTGAAATTAGTAAATATCTACCAAATTTTGAACTCTACAGAATTGTATTTCTTTAGATAAGTAAGAACAAAAATATTTATGTTTAACTCAAGTAAACTTAAAGGACTCTGATCAGTTTAAAGCAGACTTCTTGTTGCTGATCAAGTGACTATTTTATATTATGGCTGATATTAGGTGGTGTAGGGTGAGTCCAAAGTATAGTTAAAGACAAGATTTTGTTGGAAAGAAAAGACACGCTCAAGAGAGAGCGTGGGTGACTTGAGGGAAAAGATATATTGACCTCGTGTTACTGAGTGTTTTATACATTTTCTTAGTAATGATTAAGCAACCTACTTCTTAAACTAAACGTTTCTACTCTTATTGTTTACTTCTGAGCTTACTTGCATCCTGTGAAAATCTTGAGATAATGGTAAAAGTTACCGTTTTACAGATTAAGTTTCTTCCTGAAAATACCATCTTTCAGTGCCTCTGGTAATTGCCTTATTGCCTTGTTTATGATTTCTGTAGCTAAGTATATCAGCTGCCCTGCATTATGAGGTTGAGTTTCGGTGCTTGGTCAATGTTGGTATTGTTGTAGAGAGTAATGGCCTGATAACATGGTGCCCAACCAGATGCCTGACCATCTGATTTTCTAATTACCTAAACTATGCCTGCCTGCAAGAAATTTATGTATCTATCTAAGCTGTGCTAACTACCCTGCCTCATAGGTACTTGTCAAAGAACTGAGAATGATAAAGTCATGAGTTGATAGCTCCAGCCACACCTCAACAATTTCCTTTTTTTTTTTTTTTTTGAGTTGTAATCTCACTCTGTCGCCCAGGCTGGAGTATAGCGGCATACACACCGCTAACCCTGCGTCGACTTACCGGGTTCTGGCGATCACTCTGCTTCAGCCTTCCAAGAAGTCGTAACTACAGGCGCGCACAACCACGCCTGGTTAATTTTTTATTTATTGTAGAGACGAGGTCTCACCAAGTTGCCTGGGCTGGTCTCAAACCTGCGGGCTCAGGCAATCCACTTGCCTTGGTCTCCCAAAGTGCTGGGATTACAGGCTGAGCCACTGAGCCTGGTCTCAGCAATTTCTTATTTAAATTTATAATGTATCCTTTCCATTATGTTTAGCATGTGGTAGGATTTTGTTCATCTGAACAACTTTTCTGGTTCCAATTTTCCACATAAATAGAGATTATTTTTGAAATCAGGAAAATTATTTTATGTATATATATTTTTTGAGTCAGGATCTCACTCTGTCACCCAGGTTGGAGTGCAGTGGTAAAATCACAGCTCACTACAGCATTGAACTCCTGGGTTCAGGTGATTCTCCTGCCTCAGCCTCCCAAGTAGCTGGAACTACAGGTACACACCACCATGCTCAGTTATTATTATTTTTTTTTATAAAGACGAGGTCTCACTATGTTGTTTAGGCTCGGGTCTTGAGCTCCTGGGCCTAAGTGATCCTCCTGCTTCAGCCTCCCAAAGTGCTGGGATTACAGGCCACTGTAATGAGTCACTGCACCTGGACTTGTTTTGTAATTTAAAAAAAAACGCCTGAAATTGAAGATGAAAGTCTTATTTATGATTTTTTTCAAATGATAAATGAGTGAATGAATGAATGAATCAGTCACTAAACAAATCAGGCATCAAGATTTTATGCTCCTCTAGATCAGAGCCTTATTAAGTTGATCTATTATTTCATATCACCTGTTCCCACACAATACCTTGCTTATAGTAGGCATTTAATAAATATTTGTTGACCTATATACACAAAAATTATGTCTCTTTTATTGTTTGTTTTTATAGGGATCTGTTTATATCTACACTTTTGGTGAGAAGCCAACCTTAGATAAGGTCCTAGATGCTTCTGATGGGAAATTTCAGGCAATTGACTTTATCACACCTGGAACCGAACACTTTATGGTAAAAGATATTCCATTGTGTCACAGTAGGGTTTAAAGATATGATGTTTCAAGATTTAAATCCTGGCTCATATACAATTGGGTAACTTTGAAAGTTCATGTGCAAAGCAAGCAAATAGGAGGCAGAGGGTATCCTTGAGGACTGTGGTAGAGATGCCAACCACTTCCATCATCAAATCTGCTCCTCAGTTAGAATAGCATCACCATATTGTGACTTCATAACATTGTCTTCTGAAAACAGTCAAAGCAACTGAAATCCTAGGAGCCATCCTTTTTGTATTCACCACCCAAACTCTGCCAGCGAGGCATTTAAACACATTCATTGCTAATGAGCCACTACTCAGTAAACTACTAGTACATATTTATCTCCTTTCAGAGTGATGCAGGAGTACCATCTGAAGATGAAAATAAAATAGTTGCCATGCACAATATATGAATTCAGTTTAAGAACTCGATAATAATATATCAATATTGATTAACCAGTTGTAACTAATGTACCACTCTAATGCAAGATGTTGATAATAGGGTAATTGTATGTGTGGAAAGGAAAGGGAACTCTGTACTTTCTGCTTAATTTGTAATCCTAAAATTGCTCTATAAAAGGAAGTCTAGTAATTTGAAAAAGAATAATGTATAATTTCATATTTCTAGGTTTATTTGTTAAACAATAATCTCACTAAATTTCTAAGTAACTTTGAAATATGTCACATGAAAAATCTTTATTTCACTTTTCTAATCCTAATTAGTTACTCTGTATTAATTGCATTAAATATAACAGTTAATATTTGTTCAGAAATACTGTTGGAATTGTAAAATAATTGTTTGCAATTCATATAAGTGAAATGAAATTTTGTACTAAATCATTAGACTGACATACTAGAAAGGGAGGTAGCACATGCTTCCATAGAAGAGTCTTATTTTTCATTTGGTTTTGCTTTTCCTTCTTTTGCAGACACTCACACAATCAGGGGAAGTTTGTGCTTGGTGGTTGGAGGATTGTGCTTGTGTAAGCAAGATTCATCTGAATACTCCAGTAAGTGCATCCAATAAGTGAATTTTTTAAAAAATGTTAAACTCGAATTCAATCTACCTTTTCATTTTCCTATGCCAACAGCCTGTAGAAATATTTGTTACAGAAGCCTTATTGCATTTTTATCTTGTGCATCTAGGACCAAGAAACAATGGTAATGCTTTTTTTAAAAAAAGTAACATTATTTTCTGCATTACACAGTTCTAGATGAGATATGAATCTTGGTAATAGGTAGAGAAGCTTAAATCCTTCTCCTTTATGAAATTAAAATCTCAATTATAAAAAACTAACCATCATACCTTACAAAAGATACATAATTCAATGAGATAAATAAAATGCTGACAAAAGTAAAGATAAAAATTCTTACCTAAAAGACTGTGAAATGTGAAAAGATTCTATAATCTATGTGACAAATTCTTGTATGTATCCATTTCTATTGGAATTACGAAACTAATTACTAGTGTATCTGATCACATCACCTTTTACAGATGACAGATATACAAATGTATAACATCCTATTTGGAGGCCTATATAATCAGGTCTTACATTGTTTCTCTTGGGCAAGGAGGGATATAGGCACCATTGCCCTATGGAGAATTGATCAGTAGACAGATCCAGTGATGCTGAAGCCAGATCTCCCTGCCTATGCCTCAGACTTTGTTGCCTGGGAACCCTCTAATCAGTGATTCTTGGGGAACCCAGCCTAGCAGCACAATGGCAAGACCCCTGACCAAGACACAAGCAGTTTCCCTTCATGGCACCTGAAAGGCTACAGAAGACCCTACTGGCCCTTACTGTACATTTTCAGACTAGCACGCTGTTGACCTGGAATAGATGAGAATTTCAACTGGTTATTTTGGAATCACACTTCACACACACACACACACACACACACACACACACACACACACACACACACATGTCCCATAAAAGCTTTCAGTTAAAAAATATGTATAATAAAAGCCCACTCAATTGGGAGACTGTGTACATTCTAATTTAAGATGGATACCTGAGTGCTCACCTCAAGTTTGTCGCCAGATGTGGGATCCTAGGGCAAATTGCTACACTTTGTTGTCTTGCATTTTCAATTTTACAAAATGATGATCTCAAGTTTGTTTCTAGTTTTAAGTTCCATTATTTTACTCAAAACAACCTACAAAGTGTAATTACAGAGAAATAATTCTGACTTCTTAATTACTACAAAGGTAAATTTATTCTCTTAGATACCACATTATGTATAAATAATTGTGAGATACACAGGAATATGTATACTTTTTTTGTTGACTGAATATATGGTCCAGTGATATAGTTATTTTCTTAATCTTTCTTTGTCATAACAGCATTGGAAGACCACCATTATTTAGTAGATGAATGCTGATTTTTAAAATAACTAACTTTTTTTTTTTGGAGAAAGCAGGATTTACTGAGAGGACAGAGAAGCTCCCACAATGGGAGGGGACCCGGAGGAGTTGCCCGTCTCTGGGGTTGAAACCTGGTGCTTATATAGACAGGCTAGCACTAGCTGTGAGCTGTTGCTGTTCTGATTGGTCAGTATTAGGGATCAATAACTAACATTTTATAAAAATATGTTAAAAGCCAGGCACAGTGGCTCATACCTGTATGCCCAGTGACTCGGGAGGCTGGAGGCATGAGGATCACTTGGGGCTAGGAGTTCAAGACCAACCTGGACAACATAACAAGATCTCATCTCTAAAAAATATTTTAAAAATTAGCTGGGCATGGTGGCACACACTTGTAGTCCTAGCTACTCAGGAGGCTGAGGTGGGAGGATCACTTGAGGCCAGGAGTCAGAGGCTACAATAACATCCATGCTGCTGCACTCCAGCCTGGATGACAGAGTAAGACCCTGCTGCTATAAATAAATAAATAAATAAATAAATAAATAAATAAATAAATAAATAAATAAAACAATTTTAAAAAAATGTTTAAAAGATGCTAGTAATTTATTTTAAATTTCTTATTTTTCATTATTATTGGTCTAATTATTTCACAATCACTTAGATAGATTATTGGCATAACCATTTCATTGCCATTTAAAGATAGAAATGAAGCCAGTATTTAAAGTTTAAGAAATTTATCTATATTTTTATCATTCTAATTTTAGAACAAAAGAATAAGATGTCCAGATTCCTGTGACTTCTTATGCAACTGATTAACTAATTTGAAATAATCCACCAAACAACACTTGCTACTCTTCTGGTTCTACAGGCTTTTCAAATAAACTGTAGCATTCTTGTGTGTAAGGGAACAGGCCCAGTGAAAATAAGCATCTGGGGCTTATTTTAAACAGGCGACGGTTCTGGCGTGTTCTCCCTCCTCCCTCTCCGCAGCTGTGGGCACCATGGATGGCTCTGTCCACTTCATCAGCGTGTATGATGTGGAGTCCCCTCAGATAGTTCACAAGGCTTTTCTCTCTGAATCGTCCGTGCAGCACCTCGTGTAAGTACCTCCGACTTCTGGGAGCAACTGTGTCGGGCTCTTCTGTTAAGAAGCCATCATTCCTTTTAATGTTGTTTTATTTGTTTCGAATATTAATACATTCACTCACTTCAACATTCAAAAATACAGAGGAATATGTAGTGAAGTCTCTAACCCTTGTTCCCTACACACCCAATTCCCTCCCTGAAGGCTGTCTGGTACCAATTTCTTGTGTCTCTTTTCAGGGACGTTTTATTCACAAACAAGTAAAAAGATGAGTACTTCCTTTTATTTGTATAAATATTTATCAAGCGCTTACAGTGTGCCAGGCATTTCTGTTGTGTTAACTCCATGAGGTAAACACTCTTATTGTCTCCATTTTACAGATGCGGAAGATGAGACACAAGGAGTTTAAATAACTTGCTCAATATTATATGATAGTAAATGGCAAATGTTGGGGTTTGAGCCCAGGCTGTTGGGCTCCAGAGTCACTGCCTTTGGTTTTTTGTTTTTTGGTGTTTTTTTTTGAGTTGGAGTCTCACTGTCACCCAGACTGGAGTGCAGTGGCCGCTCCCGGCCACCGCAGCCTCGACCTGCTGGGCTCCGGCGATCCTTCCACCTCAGCCTTCCGAGTAGCCGTGCCGCTACCACGCCCGGCTAATATTTTTGGTTTCTTGTAGAGATGAAGTCTTGCGTGCCCAGGCGGGTCTCGAACCCGCGGGTTCAGGCAATCCACTCACCTCAGCCTCCCAAAGGTGCGGGATTACAGGCTGAGCCACCGAGCCCAGCTTACCTTTGGTCTTAAAGGGAGAAAATGATATACAATGTTCAATATCACATTTTTTTTTACTTGATGGCATATCTTGGAGAATGTTTTATATCCACACATTAAGATTATACTTATTCTCCTTTAATGCCACTATATGAATATGCCATCATTCCATTTTATGAATTCCTTTATATGAATATACCAACTTTTTTTAAAAACAGAATATTGATGGACATTTAAAGTCTTTTGAATGGGTATTTCAAGTCTTTTGAAGCAATACTTTTAAGATTGCTTCAAGTCTTTTGAAGCAATACTTTTAAGATGACAATATAAAAAAATTAGATTTGGACTGGCGGATTGCTATTTTTATTTTCTTTTTAAAATTTATTGTAACAGTATTAATAAGAACTGACATTTGTCCCCTGCTTACAGCTTGAGGTTATTGTAGCTTACTGAGTATGATCCTTAAAATACCATTCAGAAAGGCATTTTTCTTGTACCTATTAAACAAATTAGGGAATTCAGGTTCAGAGATTTAAAGAGAAGCATTTGTCCAAGATGACAGAGCTAGTGCATAGAGGAGCTGGCTCTGCCACCTGTGCTATCCTGTCCAGCTCCACTGCCTACAACTCAGTGGAGAAGGATGGATGGCCTCCCTCCATAAATTCCCTGTTCTTCTGTACCTTAGTTTTCGGTGCCTCTTCTTTCTAAGATTCTTTTATCTTATTCTAATTTGCATCTTCCCACTTTTTCCAGTTTGATGAAGTTGTAGAAATTTCACTATGTTTCTCCTCCTCCTGCCAGATACCAAACACAGGACAATGAAATGTTGCCCATTGCTAAATTGAGAATTTCCTATTTCCACTTGAAACTCTACTAACATATTTCACTTATGATGAAACAGTTGTTCATCTCTACTGAATCTTCTTGACAGTACTTATAAATTGAGTACAATTATTACATCTACATATAATCACTTGGTTTTTAGAGGTCAGAGAATATTAAAAATCACAAACCATAAGAATGACTGGTTTTGAATGTACTTCTGTAGTCATTCAATAAACTTATCAGTCATCTAATTGGTGTAAGAAGTAGGCTCTGACAACCATATTTCTTCTTTTCTAGTTATGACCAGCGAGGAATGTTTCTGGTAGTTGGAACATCAGAAGGAAAAGTCTTTATTATCAATGCTAACCCATCAAGCTCATTTCAGATTATTGGATTCACAGGTACAACCTTAGAATGGTTATTAATTTAAAATACTGATCACTTTATTCCAAATAATTTAAGGTTATAGAAATGAAACTATATTAAAATAATTATTTATGGAATATTTTCTTTAAAAGAAATGTTTAATAACTGTTTGAGATTGTTTGAAAGAGTTCCCACATTATATTTTGATGTATTTGGAGTATTACAGTTATCTGGTACATAGTTGATGCTAAATAAATTTTCTTGCATCAATTATTGAATTAATTAATGAAATGCTGAGCATTTCTCATGCTAGTATAAGAAAAAGTTGGGTTGATTTTTCTCTGAAATATATTTTAAAATAATATTTGATCTCTACTTAACAAATAACTAATTTTTTTCTTTCTGACTTTAAGTATGAAATACATATGCATATTCTCCCCCCATTTTAAATTCATTCATTGATTTATAAAAATTATTGAGTGACTATTAGGTGCAAAATGCTGAACTTAGGCCTTGTGGGGAACAAAAATATCAAGAAGACAATTTAGTAGGGGAAGAAAAAGCAGAGTACCGTATAGGCTCAGAAGAAGCTATACATTCTGCCAGGTGTGAGGAAAGGAGTGGAGGTAAAGGTGGGCACAGGTAAGGGAGTGTAGAGGATTGGGCAGAGTTTTCCAAGGTTTAAAGTAGTGGACTTATTTCATAGGTGCAAGCAAGGGGAATAGTAGTATTCCTACTCCAAATAATAATCTGACCAAAGTGCTTGGAATGGTAAAAAAAAAAAAAAAAAGTTTGATGCAGCAGGTAAATGGAAGAGATTACTGGAAGATGAGCATGGCGATGAAGTCTGAAAGATGATAAAGGACCTTGAATATCATTCCAAGAAATCTGGAATTTGTTCTGTGGTTAATAAGACATCATCAGGGGTTTCAAGATGGAACTGGCATGATTTAACTGCCATAGTTTTTAGAGACCAATTTGGCACCAATGTGGAGGATGAAGTAGAGAGGCAAGACAATGAAATAAAAAAGATGAGTAAGAAAGCTGTAATATTAGCCAAGGCAAGAGATAATAATAGTCATAATCATAAAACAGGCAACATTTATTGAAGGATAACTTACCATGTGATAGAAAATGTTCTAAACCGTTGGTCCACTTACTTAATTCTTTGACAACTTTTATGAAGTAGATACTACTATTATCCCCATTTTACAGATGAAGTACTGTGAGGTTAAGTACTTGTTCAAGGTCATGCAGCTATAATAGATAGTGGCAGAACCAATACTCAAACTTAGTAAATCCAACTTCAGAGTGTGGGCTCTTATTCACAATTCACAAGCCTACTTAATAGTCACAGAAAGAGAAAAGAGGCAGTTATGAGTGATAGAATTGGTTGGGCTTGGTATTCAATTATATGTGAAAGGGAGGGATCAATAATGACTCCAAAATTTCTAGCCTTCATGGTAGACATTGTCATTGATTTAAGAAGAAAGTATTGTCAGTTGAGGGATAGAGTGAGCTGATGAGCTCTGTAGGTTGGAAGCCAATAAGTTCTCCATCTGGGGATATTCAACATATGTTTGGAAATAGAGATATGCAGTTCTAGGCTTAAGATAGAATTCTAATTTGAAATCATTGGAAGGTGATGAGATGGCTCAAGAAGACAGAGTAGAGCAAACCTAAATGCTTAATGGGGCCAAACAGGTAACCTAACTATGTGAATTAGATGGCATTGAATGTAGTAGAGCCTGTGGTTGACTTCAGAGTAGATAATTATTCTGCCTAAGTATTCCATTTTTTAACATATGTGGTTGGCCAGAGGGTAGGATGAGAGCAGCCAGGAATAGAATTCTGATACACATTTTATATTTGAGGCTGAGGAGAGAGGAAGGTGAGGCAGTGAAGAAAACTGAGGATGGGTCAAAGAAATAAGAGAACTAGGAGCCATCTTCTCCAGGAAGAGTTTGAGGAGGGAAGCCTGATAAAGGTGCAGGCTCTGACAAAAGTGTAAGTGGGGTGAGGGCTGGGATGAGGCCCTCATGTATTTGCCAATCAGTAAGTGATCCTTGAGAGGGAGTCACTTCTCTGAAATGCAGACAAAGAGATTGAAGAGGGAATAGAGGTAAGAAAATGAAGTTAAAAATTGAAAAAATATATTTTAGGAAGTTTGCAGTGGAGAAAAAAGAGTGAGATGGTAACTCGTGGGGCAGCAGAGTTGAAGGAAGGTCCTTATTTGAAGACAGTTTTGAAGACGGAATAGAAGGAACAAGGGACACAAGAAAATAAGATGTGTTTGATAATGCATGGTCGAGAAGGAGATCAGGGGAATCACAGACAAGAAAGGGTTACATTTTGTTCCTTGTCAGAAAATGTAGGGGGAGGATGGAAACAACAAGAAAATGAGAGATTCAAGACAATGTTAAGGTTGAGTTGGGGTCAGATGCCCCAGGTCTTCCTTGCTAAGTAAAAGAGAAGGTTGTAGCCGGGCTCGGTGGCTCAGCCTGTAATCCCGCGCCTTTGGGAGGCTGAGGTGAGTGGATTGCCTGAGCCTGCGGGTTCGAGATCCGCCTGGGCAGCGAGACCTCATCTCTACAATAAATCAAAAAATCAGCCGGGCGTGATAGCACATGCCTGTAATTCCGGCTACTCGGAAGGCTGAGGCGGAAGGATTGCTGGAGCCCAGCAGGCAAGGCTGCTGTGACCGGGAGCGGCTACTGCACTCCAGTCTGGGCGACTGAGTGAGACTTCAACTCAAAAAAAAAAGAGAAGGTTGTTTACTGACCACCTGGGGGAAGGGCCGGTATCAGGGCCTGAGAAATCAGGCACCTACAGCACAGTCCCACAAAGAGTGGAAGAGTGAATCTGGAATGAATCCAAGGTGATGGGCTGCAGGCCTGGCACTCTTGCAGAGGAAGACAGATTTACCACTCTCGATGGGGCTGATTCCTTTTGTTTCTCTAGCAGCAGATGGGTCAGGAGGAAATGACCCAAGTGGTTGACTCCCATGTGCATTTCAAAGCCATCTTAGAATAGGGACATACCATCACTCCTGCATTATTGATCCAAATGTGGAGGTGCTTTGCCTCTGCTAAGAACCCCCAAGAAAAGTCTCAAGTAGACTTTGTATCAGACAGGTCCAGTTTCTGTACCAGCACCTGCTGGTTCCCTGTCATGGGCTGGATCTCTATGGCCACCAATTCCTCCTTCTGCACATCTCAGCAAGCTAAGTATATGCAAGCTCCTCTTTGAGCCAGCTCTTTGGCTGTCTCCTTCCTGATGCCTGTATTAGCACCAGTGACCACAGCTGGAGGAAGCAAACCTAAATGCTTAATGGGGCCAAACAGGAAACCTAGCTATGTAAATTAGATGGTATTGAATGTGGTAGGGCCTGTGGCTGACTTCAGAGTAGTCAGCCAGGAGGCTGGATGGTTGATGTACACACTCCACAAGAAAGCATTTTCTTGATCCGGGGCACAGCCATGTTCAGGAAGGTGGGGAGAAGGAGGAACAGGGGCAGGAGACCAGCCATCTTGGATTAGCTAGCTTTCTAGAGAAGCAAACTCATAATGTGTTTCCACTACATCTGCAATCCCTTGACCACAGATACAAAGACTATTGTTGCCTGAGTTTACTTAATACTGGGAGTGGGTAACCTGGCTGGAGTGATATGTGGGGGCCAGAACATGTAGGTGCTGTGAGAGGGGTAGAGATGGTGTATTCTGGGGGCCACCCTGGCTGGAAAAAAACTGATCCAGACTTGGCTGGTTTGAATATACCAGTCCAGATATCTAATCAGGAGGATCCTCTATCTGGTAAAAATAAAATATCCTTGTCACTTACATTTAAAGATCTCTTTAAATGTCCAGTAATAAACATGGATCTAAAGATTTCATTAAGGTGAAGTGTATAATGTGATATTCTTACTGAAATGCAGGGATTTGGTCAAGGTGACACAGAAAGCCAATAACTGAGACAATAAGTATTGCCAAGGAAGAAGACTTTCTACTTGGGTGATACAAGTCAAGGAGACCATGAGATTAGTCTCAAATCTGTCTCTCTGTTCCACTGAAGTCAGGGGTTTATATAGTGGGCAGAAGGGTAGAAAATGGGAATTAGGAAGGGGTAAGGAAGAGGAGTTGGTAAACAGGAATCGGGGAGGGATCTGGTATCTTATTGTCTTGATACTGTGATTTCATGAGTTTCCATGTTTTGATATAGGTGGGTTTCCAGAGAATGGAACTTAGATAAGATAAATATAAGTTCAAGCATTAAGGCCAAAAAACTCAATTTCTATGTTTATTTAAAAAACTATAATCACTGGTTCTATGGGAAGTTGGATCTGTTTTAATATCTTAATTGGGAGGGTAAAAGATTCTTTAAACATTCAATGACCACTTGTAGATTTGATTTCTGTTTGCTTTCAGAGGTGGGCAGAGACATTTTACAAATATCCACAGTGTCTCTTTTGGAAACAGACACAGTGGAAGTGATGGTGCTCTCTCCACTTCCAGAAACAGGGAGAAGCAGACTGGAAATGTTTACTCTGCCTAACATATCACTACAAGGTAAAGAAAAAATAAGCATCCAATTCTGTCCTTGGCCCAGATAAGTTATTGCTGTAGTTTTTTGTTTTGCTTTTTCTTGTAGCATGTGAAGAGGTGAAATGGCTATGTTTTATTTATCTTTACATAGTAACACTGAACTGATATGGCTGCTAAATAATTTGAAATGTGCACTTTCCTCTAGATTTGTGACTCACATGAATCTGCTTTATTACTAGAGAAAAGAGATGGGATCAACTGACATGTGTGTCAAATTGATTTGTCATTGTGTGAGTCTCTTGTTTTGTAGCTTTAAATATACATAGTCAAATTTGGATACATTACAGTATAGTTACCTTTACTGATAAAATTATACGGAAAGGTTTCTGGATAAAAAGGTATGAGAAAATACACACTCTTTATTTTAATGACAAATATACCTGGGTAGTGATTTTACAAATATATAATTATAGAGTGGAAGAAAGCTGAAAACATCAAAGTACTTCTATGAACTAATTAAGAATCTCTATACCATCATGAATTTCTTTTAATGTTATGTCTGTAAGTTAATTTACAGAATTAACCAGGGCCTTACAAAATATATTTTACTCGCTATTGAAAGGACTTCGGCGCCAGTGACAACTCCACACCCGTTATAGACCAAGAGATTTATTAAAGTGGCAGCCACAGGGGAAAAAGGGAAAGGGTCTATGGTCACGGGGTTGGGGAGGGAGAGACAGAAGGGGGGGGGAGAGAGAGAGAGAGAGAGAGAGAGAGAGAGAGAGAGAGAGAGAGAGAGAGAGAGCGAGCTAGAGCTGTACAGGGAGAGGGCTGTATTTATTAGCCTGACAGCGGCCGGAAGGGGCAGTGCTAGGTTTTATTGGAGGAGCGGCCTGGGAGCAGGGTGGGCAGACGTCGTGTTGTAGGCCCATTGGACGTACAACAAAGCTACATTATGGAAAATGATTGGACACGTGCTAGGGGAACCATGCGTGAAGAAGCCAGAACCTAGGGCCTTTGTTGTCTAGGATGGCAGCGCCATCTTGGGGACGCCCTTCTGACTGTTCTCTGTGCCCTTCATTCCCACCTTTTCTGTTTGTTTGGGAGAGGGGTATCGTTACTCCTTCTGGCTGCTTCCTGCTGGATGTGGGCGTTGTAGGGTGGGGTGGGGCAAGGGCACAGAAGCAGCCAGAATAGAGTCCAGAGGTAGGCACTGAAGGTGAAGATTTTTGAAGGCGAGAGTTCCATGAAAGTTTTTTGTAAATGTAGAATGGTGACTTGTTCTGGCCAATCCTCCAGTGGGCACAAGGGTGGTAATAACCAGCTGTCTTGGAGTAGACTGTGGAGGTAAATAGAGAACCTGGAAGAGAACATATCTAAAAGAAAAGTTAAGTGATGTTTAGGGACAAGGTGTTGACTCCTCTATTGGGACAGGTTGATAACTATTGAGTAATAGGAGGTTGAGGTTTTGATTTGAGAGTTTAATTAAGCATTATTGGAGAAATTTAAAGATATATGGGGCTATTAAATAAAAAACGCAAATTAGAATGACAGGGTCTAGGAGTGGGGCCAGCCAGGTGACAAGAGGGTGTTGTAACCAGGTGAAAGGAGAAGAGTCTGGCTGTTGGCAGCTCCATTTTAATTTATCACTTAGATGATTGAGAATGTTTAGGGTTTTTTTTGTTTTTTGTTTTTACTAGGCATGGAAGAGAAAGAGAGATGGGGATAGAAACTTGAGACTGGCAGCCATATGGCTGGCAGTCCGTTGTGGCCAGATGTTGGGTATATGAGTGGTCCTTAGAAGTCCAGGACTCTTTTACAAAGAATCTTCAGCGAAATGGTAGGATGGGTGGAGTTATTTTACCACTGAGGTGGGTTAAAATTAATAAGGGAAGGAGGGTTAGGTTGATGAACATAGTGCTGTAAGGGGTGACTTTTTTTTTTTATTAATCAATATTTTTTATTATGGGGTGACTTTTTATAAAAGACACTTAATAGGAATGAAGCTAGTTATGATGAGGAGGTATGTAATAGCCAACAAAGCTTTGGCCGTGGATGACCAATTTGTAGGTGTTGACCAAGTAAGTAATATAGTAAGGAGGATGGTAATTAAGCCAAGAAAGGAAAGGGGCCAAGAGTTACAAGTTTTTTTGCACTGAATCTAGGATGTTTGTTTGGATTTGGATTTGGATGGGTGATGAGTCGGGACAAGAAGGAGGGGGAGTTTATGTCTCATATCTGAGGATTTATTATAGAAGGGGGTAAAGGAGGAAGTAAGCCAGTTGGGGAATCGTTAGTAGTTAGGAGGGCCAAAAATGGGTTGTGGGAGATGGGTTGTTAAGGGCTGTACTTGGATTAAAGGTGATGGACGCCTGGAATTTGGCTAGAATGTCCCTGCCCATAAGAGGTACGGGACATTAAGGCAGTATCAAAAAGGAATGAGTGCCAGATCTTGTATCTGAAGATTTGCCTAGGGGGGATGGGATAGGCTGCTGTTTGTCCTTCAGTAGAATGTCAGAATATTTGTTAATTGCTACACTGAGGCCAAAAGACTAAGAATAAGCTAAGTTTCTTTTGGTTTTTATAGGTACCTTTCATTTTTTATTCCTGCCCTTGGAAATATTTTTATAATACTGGGAAATGGGGCAAAGATCATTTTTTTGTATCTACTTTTTGCTGAGATGGGGCCGTAGCGATGTCTCTACCTATTTATTTTTAAGGCCATGAGCAGGAAATGGCAGAACCTTAAGCAAATGCTATTTGGATTTAATAAAACATCAAGTGAGAGCATAGGTAAAGATTATTAAGCAAACGATGATGAAAAGAGTTATTGTCCCAAAAAACAATGTTGGAAAAGTGAAAG